GTACATAATAAAATCCAATAAGATACAACTTGTTTAGACCAATGGAGACAGAAGAACAAAAGCTTGATAAGACTTCAAAACAAGATGATACTAAATCAGTATTACCTATTAAGATGTCATTTTCTCCAAAATAGCTGTTCCTATCATCCAATCTTCTTTGCCTTATTTCTGTTGAGCTCTTTTTCTGTCATTAGTTGTCAGTTTGTCTTCTTCATTTTGTTTTCTGCTCCATTCATTGTGGCCTCTCTGCCACTATTTCTGGATTCTTTGTGTTTTTCTTTTTTAGAATATCCTGCAGTATTCTCTGTAGAGTTGAATTGGTGGTTGCAAATTCCCCTAGTTCCTCTTTATCCTGGAAGCACCTTGTTTTTCCATCAATTTCCAGGGATAGTTGTGTAGGATATATCAATCTTGGCTGGAGATTATTATCTTTCAAAGCTTGAATTATTTCCCCCCATGCTCTTCGTGATTTGATTGATGGTTTGTGCAGAGAAATCTGCTGTAATTCTGATGGGTGTTCCCTTGTAAGTGGTCTGTTTCTTGTCTCTGACAGCTTTTAATATTCTGTTCTTGTACTGAATTTCGGAATTTTTATTATTATATGCCTGGGTGTTGCTCTGTTTGGGTTGTAGGTGGCTGGGGTCCTGTATGCCTCATACATCTGAGTATCTTTACCTTTTGCTAAATTAGGAAAATTCTCCTGGATTATTTCTGTGAGTAGCTTTTGTAGCTCATTTGTTTGTGTCCCTACTTCTTCTTTTATGTTCTTAATTCTTAAGTTATGGATCCTCTTATCATCTTCTAGTCTTTGTATTATTACTGTTTGTTTCTTTGTTACTTTTAAGAAGTTTTTCATTTCATTCTCCAATATTACAAACCTGCCCTCCAGTTCAGATAGTCTGTCCTTAGTTTCTTTCAAGCTGTTATGCCAGTTTTCGATAGAGTTTTTAGTTTCCTGGTAGTGTCTTTGAACCTGCTTCACGTATTCTATGCTTTCTCTATTTTCTCCATCAAACAATTCTCCCCTCTTTTCTGTTCTTCCATTCCACCATCTGTTTTTTCTTGGGTGGTGCTTAGCATTTCTCTAACTATTCTGCATACTTCTAGCTTAAGGTCATTGATAACTTCATTCCTGAACTGATCTATGAGGCTCTCTATATGGCGCTTTATGTCTATTGGTGCAGTGTCCGCTATTGCCTGTTTCTCAGGATTGGGGGCCGAGGAGCCTTTCTTGTTGCTGCCTCTTCCCATATTCTTTGTTCCTTATATATGCAAGCTTATATAGGAGGCCCAGCTTCCCTCCCTGTCAGCCACAGCCTGATCGAATTGCGCAGGCTAGGTGTTCCCACCCACCGCAGCACACCAGGAAATTGCAGACCAGGCAGCCTCTCCAGGTCACCCTCAGGCTCTGGGATCTGGGTTGTGCTAGCCCACTGGGTCTCCGCCAGCAGTGTCACATAGGCTAGGCACTTCTCACCAATCCTGCTTGAGAGGGGGATACGTGGCTGAAGTCACTGCAGCGCCCCGCTCCCGCAAGTCTGCCCAGTCCCAGAATGTCTTTCTCTGGAGTCTCATTAAACTGTGGGAGAGTGTCAGTTTCTCTCACTCACCTCACCGCAAGTCAATGCACAGCTCCCCGCCCATCCTGTTTTCAACTCCGTTCGCGGATTCCCGTTCTCAGAGCTTCCACGTGTCTCTCTCCCTGCCGAGCCTATGTAGACGCAGCTGCCGTGCAGCAGGAAACCCAAATCGCGGCTTCCAATGGTGCGGGCTCCAGCCTCTACACTGAGGCTTTTCTGTTCCTGTTCTAGCACCAGGACTGCATTCCAAGTTGGTTTCTCTCAGCCCAGTTCGTTCCTGGGTCAGCAGAGCATATCTCTACCTGCTTATGACTCCTTAGTCCGCACCATTCCTGAATTCTAAGCCGAGTGTCTCAGAGAGCCTCCGTAGCTGCTGCTATCTGTCCGCCATGTTCTCCCGGAAGTCCAAAAAATTTCTTTTAATTCTGAGACAGGGTCTCACTAAGTAACTAAGGTGCCCACACTGGGCTTAGACTTGTGATTCTTCCGCCTCAGCTTCCAGTTTTACGATATGTGGCATGAAGGGAATATTAATACCTCTGGCCTGTGACTGTCCCCTCAGCCAGCGGCTTGGGAACACTGGCTCACTCAGCAACCGGTGAGCCGACTGTGAAATGCTTCTGGCTGACCCATTAGCCTTCCTGGTTCAAGGCTGCTCTTCTATAAACCTTCCCAGGAGATGGCAAATCAGCTCACTGAGGGCTGAGTAATCTCAGGGCTGTGGTTTCAACTATTAAATCACAGGGGCCCTGGCTCCCTGCATCACGCTCTACTGCTCCCAGGTCTTGTCTGTGCTGTGGAACATTCCAGGAAGAGACCCACGACTGGACCCCTGATAGGTGCCGGGTCCACTGGGCCTTGATTTTGGGCTTCCATCCTAGTTGGGCAATTTGAGAGACAGTCATGGGCTTGCAGAATGCAGCACGGGGTCCAAAGGCACCACCATGCACATGTGATCTTTCTGTCTACCCCGCCCTTTCTCTTGTCTGCTTTGTCGTTTAAAAAGGAGCGTGAGAGTGAAAATAACTCTGTTCCCTTGCAGAATTTCAATAGACTTTCTTCCTGTTTCTATCCATAGCAAGCTTGTAACGTGGTTATTCCAGATTCTTATCCCCAAAATTACTACTGCAGGGATATTTCACACCACTGCCGCTATGGGGTGGTGGCCTTTGGGACATCCAGGGGGCACCAAGCTGCCATTTCTCACACCCCAGGAGAAGGTGAAGTTGGAGGTGAAGTTGCTGATTGCTCACATAATTCATTGTTCCCAAGTTTCATTTCTTGTCTTGCTCAGTCCAGGGTAATTTTCTTTAGCCAAAATATGCAGGAGAAAGAAAAGAAAGTGATGTGAAGTCTTTAAGCTCTATGACTCACATTGCAGGGCTTCCTTGGAATTATGTATCCCCATCCGTACTTCCAGGGCTTCCCCACAGTGACCAGGAATTCATGGAGCATCTCCCCATCCGAAAGTCGTGTTTCACACCATTCTATCCCATCCATCCATTCACCCACTCCGGCCTCTGTGATCACTGGGGCAGCTGAACACTCATGACCCACTTTGTGGTCATCTCGGCCTTATAGTGCATGGCTATCCTTGGCATGTAAAAGCTGAGCTTCTTTCAAATGCTGGTATTCACCAGCAATCCCAGCACTCAGAAGGCTGAGGCAGGAGGATCACCAAGGCCAGCTTGGGCTACCAAGTGAGTTCATGGCCAGCCTGAACTGCATAGTGAACCTACCTCAAAAAGCCAAAAAAAAAAAAAAAAAAAAAAAAAAAAGCAAAAAGCAAAAAAAGCTGGTGTTAAGAGTTCACATATAAGGCATGATAAAGAAAAATACAGCAGCACAAATCTGTAATCCCAGAATCCCAGAACTTGGGAGGCTGGGGCAGGAGGATCACTGTGAATTTGAGGGCAGCCTGAACTACATAGTGAGACCCTATCTCCAAAAGACAAAACACGCAAACAAAATGTGTTCAATTTTTAAAAAATTGTTGTAGTAAAAGACATGGTGGCATTACTCTTCCTCCACAGCTTTCAACACCCCATGATTCTTGCCACTTTGTGAAGCAGTACCCGAAGTCCTTTTCATGAACGTCTTTAGAAGTTCCAAACATTTACCTTTTAGGGTCATTTTGACTTTGTGGGACAGCCAGGCGTCACAGAGTGCCAGATCCAGTGGATGAGGTGGACGAGGACCCACTGTCGTGTTTTTATGAGCTGCCTCCCTGTTGGATGGCGCTCAGCAGTGGCAGTCACTGTATTTTTTTTAATCATACCTTAAAAGACATGAAAAAGGCTTCCAGAGCTGCCTCAGGAAGTGACACGAATGACAGAAGAAACGCATGCAAAGTAAGGCGAGATATTTCGAGGGGCGTTAATGGCAGTGTGTCTTTCACTGCAATAGATTTTGAAAATGTAAATGCCACGTGTCTTTTCTCTTTTTTTCCAGTCACTTTCTTTATTGGGACGTGTGTGTAATGCATTGCATTTGCATTCCCTGTGGGGAGCTGTCCACTTTCACTATATATATATATATATATATATATATATATATATATTTTTTTTTTTTTTTTTTTTTTTTTTTTTTGTCTTTTTGTGCTTTTTTTTTAATCGGTATCAGGGATTGAACTCACGACTGCCTGCTTGCAAGGCAGGCGCTTATGCCGCTGAGCTAAATCCCCAGCGCCCACTTTCACAGTATATTGTATCAGACACACAGTCCCAGCCTTCAGGGCCCTGACCACTCATGCTGAGAGTGGATCCCAGAACAAACCCTCCCCAGTCTCTCTGGTGCTTCTTGGCTTCCAGGGTGTAAATTGTCTGGACTCAGTCCGTTGTCATAGTAGATTTCTCTTTCAGAACTCTTAATCCGGTCCACAGTAACCACAGTCATGAAGCAGTGAATGGCAGAGGTGGTTTAAGGGCTCATGCCCACCTGGCTTTGGCAAACCATGGGATTTTTTTTTTTTTTTTGGCAATTGATTTACCACTTTAATTATGTTCTCAAAGTGTACTTGCCCATCTCCTGGTAATATAACTTTCTCTGGGCAGCAGTGGCCCTGAAATAGGCCCTGTGCTTAGGCCACACCAGCCCAGGGCTATCACCCTACAGAGAACCCAAGAAACAAGACATTAACTGAGAGTTTCTAAATCATTCAAGAAAAAATTGCATATTTTTCCACCCGAAAAAAAGTTGTTTCAGACATCCCACTGTGCTAAAGAAAAAACACCCCAGCAACCCCTCTGTGTTAGACCCGCTAGACCCGTTTCTGTCTGTTCCTTGTTTTCCAAGTAGATGTTTAGTGGCGCTCGGGTTTGTGCCCTTCCCACGCGTCCCGGTTCTGTGCGACCCCCACGGGTGTCACTGCGCTGTCCCGCAGCGCGAGGGCGGGGCCTCACCTCCCGGGTTTCTGCGCAGGGCGCTGCGGGTTCGCAAGAAGATGTCCGGGGAGAAGATGCCCGTGAAGATGATCGGCGACATCCTGAGCGCCCAGCTGCCGCACATGCAGCCCTACATCCGCTTCTGCAGCTGCCAGCTCAACGGGGCGGCCCTGATTCAGCAGAAGACGGACGAGGCCCCGGACTTCAAGGAGTTCGTCAAGGTGAGGAGCTGGGGCTGCACGGAGACCTCTCCAGGGGGTCGAGGGTGCATCCCAAGAGAGAGAGGCCTCAGGTACTGAGGTCCTGGCTAAGTGGGCAGGTGTGGCTGTCCTGTCCCGGAGAGGGTGGGCTTGGAGAGGAGAGGCTGGCTCTGGCCTGGAAGCTTTGCGCATGCACATCTTTAGAGATGTCTTTCCCGGGGTTTAGGGGTGTTAGAGGGGGCGTGTCCACACCTTGCATCTCACTTGCTAGCCCAGGCAGGCCTCCCGTTTCCCCTTCTATTTCTTTCTCTTTTTAATCTGTTGTTGATAGGTGTGTGTGTGTGTGTGTGTGTGTGTGTGTGTGTGTGTATTTTTTTTTTTTTTTTTTACCAGTACAGGTTTGTAGTACATAATGTTTACCTGCTGTGCACGGAGTTGGTCCACACAGAGAAGCATCTTCACTCCTTTGTTCATCCCTTCCCTTCCCCTCCTTCCATCTCTTGATCCCCCTCCCGCCTGAGAAAGATCTATTTCCCTGTTTCCTATTATTTATATTTCATTTTGTTCTGTAGTTGTAATTTAAGTTTCTCACATAAGAGAAATCATGTGATACTTAAGCTGATGTGTCTAATTTATGTCACTTACCATTACGGTCTCAAGGTTCATTGGTTTTCCTTCAAATGACTGAGTGCATCTTTCTTTCCGGCAGGGTTGTACTGTGTGTAAATACCGTGTTTTCTTTATCCATCCATTCTTTGGTGGACATTTAGGCTGCATAAGATTTAGTTTTTATGAGTGGCGTTGCTATGGACGTAGGTGTGCCCATATCACAGTACTGTGGCACCTTTAATTCTTTTTTTTTTTTTTTTTGGCACCTTTAATTCTTTTGGGAAGATGCTGAAAAGGGGAAGAGTTGGGTTGAATGGAATCTCCAGTTTCCTTGTGTTGAGGAATATCCAACATATGTAGTTTATATTCCTATACACGATGTAGAATGGTTTCTTTTCCCCCACAGCCTGGCCAGCGGAGTTGGTTTCTTGGTGATGGCCATTCTTTCTGGTGTATGACGGAATCAGTGTTGTTTTAATGTGTATTTCTCAAATAACCAGCAGTGTTGAACATGTTTCATGTACCTATTGCCATTTGTACTTCTTCTGTGAGGTGTCTGTTCATTTCACTAGCCCGTTTTGTGACTGGGTCTTTTATTTGGGGGGGATTAATTTTTTTTCAGTTCATCATGTGTTCTAGATCAGTGGTAGTGAACTCTTAGAGCTTTCTATGATACAAACAGCCCTCTGCAGCATGCATGCCATAGGTTCACTGCTACTGTTCTGATCCTGTTGGTCCTCAGTCTAGGGAATATCTGGCAAAATGTTTTTCCTGTTCTCTAGGTTTTTTTTCACTATTGGTTGTTTCCTTTGCTATGCAAAAGCTTTTTAACTTGGTACTGTACCTAATTGGTTGATTCTTGGTTCTATTTCCTATGCAACCAAGTATCTGTTTAGAGAGATTAAACCTTTCTGTCCAGTCTCTGCATCCTCAGTGCTTCGGTGGTTTCTGCTTCTACTTACAGAGAGAATGGCCACCTGTCCCAGCGGCCCTTTTGTCCCTTTCCATTTGGTTCTGCTTGATGAGCTCAAGCTCCAGGCAGCCCATGGGTGTTAGCATGGAGTGCCATGCCTTCTGCCTTAGTGCTAGCAGATCTGGAGGGCCATGTGTCCACTGGGGACATTTGGGGGGGTGCTGCCGGTGCTGCTTGTAGGCCACTACCATGGGTGTACCATCCTGGCACACCAGTCACTCCAGTAACCCCACATGGGTTTGCTACAGCAGTCACTTGAATAGTGCCCTCCTCTCCCAGAAGAAATAACAGGGAGATAAGAAAATAATTTCTACTAGACAGATACATTTTGATCAATAAACAGTAAAACAGCAATAACAGGCATATCTTTGTGTCTCAGACATCTTAGTGGGTGGGGCACTCCTACCTCCCCGTGAATCGTGCGTTATGAAGGTGTAAGTGACGTATAAGGGTGGCTCTTCTTGGTCATAACCTCATACAAGCTTGTAGCTTCTTTCTGCCCCCTTGTGTTTCCCAATGGTAAATACTTGGATTTGTTGGCCAACCAATGAGGTATTTTGAAGACCTTCAAAGGTGAGACAGATGGGTGTGTGGGGGAGGGGTATGGAAGACGGAGGGCAGGTGCTCTGGCCAACTCCTGGTCACTGGCCGGATAAGGTCACCGTTGGGTGCATTTGAACTTCAGGGAAATGCAGATAACAGCCCTAGACAAGGCATTTTCTGTCCCTCCCCTCTCCTCCCCTCTTGACCTCTCTCTGCATCCTGGCTGGAGTTCAGTGGCTCTCTGTCTGCTGAGAGGTGTCCCTGGGATGATGATGTCCATGGCTGGGTGTCAGGTTGAATGCTGACATTTTCTGACCTCAGGGTTCTGAGTCAGAGCATTAAACCCAACCAGAGTCTTTGAGAATAAAGTCTTCATTGGGAGAGAAGGGCACTTGTCCAGAAAGGGATCGATGTAATTGACAATCATGGTCAGAGGACCCAAGCAGGGAGCTGAGGGTGGAGACGAACCATAGACTCCCATTCCAGAGCCTTAGTCCTTAATCCTCAGTTCTCCTTAGCCTCACCCTCCTCCTGGAGCTCCCAGAGATGTGTGCTACCTCCACCCAAAGAAGGCAATGAGATTCAGCCTTTCTAGCATGTGTAGGACTTAAGGGGATTTTTTTTTTTTTTTTTGGAGACAGAGTCTTGCTATGTAGTACACTGGTCTCAAACTCATAATGTAGACCAGGTTGGCCTGAAACTTACAGCAATCCTCCTGCCTCAGCCTCCCTGGTGATGGCATTACCAGGTTATACTATCATGCCTGGTTTAAGGGTAATTTTTATTCTGACCATATAGTCTTGTGATTCTTCTTACTCACTGGAATATCATAAAAGTTTTTTCCGATACTCAGAAGGAATACTCTGTAGGGCCAGAATCTTCTCTGTGTAAGGAGCCATGTGTCCCAGGGAACGTTTATGGAGTCAGCCAGCAGGACATACCCTAGTGAATGGGTCACATTTGGGGTCTTTCATTGTCTGGAACTGCTTTACCCTGGAGCCTTCCAACTCTCAGTTCCTCATGATCATCAAGATAACTAGAATAGGGGCTGGGGGTTTAGCTCAGCGACATAAGCACCTGCCTTGAAAGCAGGCAGTTGTGAGTTCGATTCCCAGTACCAATAAAAAGGAAAAAGACAAAAAAAAAAAAAAAAAAAAGGATAACTAGAATAGTGTGTGTGTGTGTGTGGGGGGGCGGGAGTCCTAAATGACGTTAGTGTCAATAACACTAACTTTGGATTTTGCAGATATCTGAAGAACACTTTTTAAAAATCTCTCATTTCAGAGATTGGCAATGGACCCTCGATGTAAAGGGATGCCACTGTCTAGTTTTATACTGAAGCCTATGCAACGGGTAACAAGATACCCACTGATCATCAAAAATGTAAGTACCTGCCTTGCCTTTCCAGTGGAGGGATGCTTCCCCTGCACTGGAGCGGGCTGGGGCACGGGCAGCTCCCCAGCCAACACACCTGGTAGCTACTATGCAGAAATCATGCACCAGCAGGGTTCTGGGTCCACTTGCTTAGTAAGAGAAAAAAAGCTGGTTATTATGAAAAGAGCCAAGAATGTACAAGCTTTATATGTGCTCCAGTTGACTTCTACCTGCTAAGCCAGAAAAGAAGAGCTCAGGTCTTGATTCTTTTCCTAATACAGGCACAATGCCTCTACACCTTGATTTTCCTAGCAGAAAACAGAAAAAAAAAAAAAAAAAAAAAAAACAACAACAACAACAAAAACCCATGATTCCTAGCACCCATCTGCAGGAGAACATTGGATGATTGTTTTTCTATTGTTACTTCAAGAAAGCCAATACCAAAAGAAAAGAGCAAAATTAGGATTCGGTGTTGCTATCTATGAGTGAACCCATGTCACATCCTTTGAGACCATGATTATATAACCACAGGAGGTATCGTTCCTGGAGAAGGTTTTAGATCTGGTTCCTTCTGAGGGAGGCTGGTATTTAGAAACCCAGATCTGGGCACTGGCCTGCTCATTGCTGTGAGGGTGTCATTACCTTTGGAGCTTCCAGTGGTACAGCTGGAAAATACATGTAGGGATTTTCATATATACATATCTATATGTGCTTATGTGTAACACATATATTTATTTTTAATTCTGGGTCAGTTTTTCTATTTTATTAAAATCCACAAATTCACACTGATATCTACTATTTAACCCACAAAAATTATTCCAGCTTTTCTCTTCCTGAATTTGCAGCTCCTTGCTGTCTATGAGAAACCTGGCTGTTGTTATCCTTAATATGTGGATTTTCTTTGCTTAGGCTCTTGGTACTTAACAAATTTCCCTTCTGTGTAAGTCACCTCATCAGCCCCACTCCAGCTCCACCCATAAAGTATGCTGCAGGCACTTGGGCTGAGTTAATTCATTTTGAAAGCTCCTTTAATCTACTTTTTCCTCTATTGCAACTCTACACTTGCTGCTTAATTAACTCATTGCTTCTGTCTACTTTCACCAATGTATAACTGCAAATTAAAGTTTGAAATAAGCTTTAAAATAGGTGTTATATATCTAGCCAATGGGGAGGAAAAAAACATGGAGAGAACAGAGAGGCATACATATTAACAAGGGGAAAACCCAAACTATCATTATTTGCAGAAAGATGATTACTGCCCTTCAGGGCATCTAGGAGAATGAGCTGAAAGCTAATTGAACTAAGAAAAAGCTGGCAGGTCATAAGATACAAATGAAAAACTGCAAAAGCATTAAGATTAAATATTTTTGTAATAGTGAGGTAGAGGAACTCTTAGCATGGCATCAAAACCTTTAAAGGACTTAGAGTCACAGGGACCTAAAGGAAAACTTTTATTCCGGAGAGCAACCTAGATGCTCAGAAAGCATAGTAAATTATGGAAGAACATGCACTCTGCAGTATCTTTAAAATTACAGGATGATTTCTGTTGTACATATTAGCATGCAAAGGTATGCGGAAAGTGCCTTTGTGTGAAAACAAAATAGTACAGAACTCATACAGCAGATGTTCCATTTTGCAAAAAAGAGAGAAAAGCTTATATGTGTGATTGTTAAATACATTCTGTGCTGCTTAACAGGAACATTCCATGAAATGTGTTGTTAGTTGATTCTGTCGTTGTGCAGACTTAATAGAACAGGGTCACACAAACAAAGATGGCTACAGTGTCACTAGGCAAGAGACTCTTGAGACCACTGTCATATATCTGGCCATCGTTGACTGAAACATTCTATGTCTCATGCAACTGCGTTCAGAGAACACCTGAAGGTACCAAAGGGAAGTGACAGTTAGCTCTGGGGTAGGACAGGAAGGAAGGTGTCACTTCTAATCTGTGTACTTCTGTGACATTTAACTCTTTCACATCATATCAATTGTGTTGATATGTTTATTTGCATAAACATTTTACTTAACAATTTCTATTACAAAATATGAGCAAAGACAAGTGACAGATAAATGTATATGAACAGGCCCTGAAATATAAAGAGATACAGGTATCTATATATCGATATGTAAAGCAGTCTTATAATTGAAAAACTAAAATAGTCCGGTAGAAAAGTAGGTAAGATATACACCCGGATGCCGTGGAGGGGTGGGGTAAAGTAGTGGTGAGAGGCTACTCTGTTGGAGCCAGGGTGCCTGGTTTGTGCCTTGGTACCACCTCCCTGTACTCTTAGGCAAGTTACTCAACCTCTCTGGGCCTCAGTTCCTTTTGTGTAAAAATACAGACACTAATAGTACCTACTGTGCAGTGTTGAAAGAATTGAGGGTCTGATAGTAATTGCTGTCCCTTATTTAGCATTTGCTAAGGGCCAGGTGTTTTGCAAAGTGCTTCATTCCTATTGGGTCCTAGATTCCTTCAAATAATGGGGTAAAGGAGATGCTCTTTGCATAACCCCTATGAGGAAACTGACACTCAAAGCCTGTATGTGACCCCTCAAATCATGTCTGGTATTGGGCAAAGCAGGGTGTTCACCGTGGGAGGTCAGCATTTTGTGGGAAAGGTCACACCACTTGCTTTGGGGATGTTCCAGGATATGTAGTTGCTGGGCAGAGGCTTCAAGGATAGGAATCTCCATTGCTTCCTGGTGGAAGCTTAGCCCTCACTGAGCTCATGGAGGAGAGGGGTCCCCTGCAAGGCTTCTCGAGTGGTGAACCAGGACTGGCCATCTCTGTCAGGTCATTGCCTGCTGGATGCTTGTGGGAAACCACCTGGAGGAAGCTCTTTGAAAGAGGAGCAGTTATTTCCATGTTGGATAAATCTGGCCCTATCTCTGTGTGTTGATTTGTACAGAGCTAGGCCATCTCTGTCCCTTCAATTGGATTTAAGCACTGTAAATTGGTCTGGCAGAGGAGCTGATGATGTATATAACCTTTGAAGCAAGGCGACAATCACTGTTTCTTTGCCCAGTGACTCCCAAAAAACATGGTTGAGCCAGGCAGCACGGAAAGCTATGCTCCACAATGTCAGCTGGGACCTTCCAGGGCCAAAAAAAATTGTACATTCCAGCTGAGGCACTGACCCCATAATAATTAGACACCACCTCAGCTGTGTTATGCAGATTATTCTTCCTGCATTTTATTCCCTCTGCGTATGACAGGGGTGAGCTCAGGCCTCCTACCTGGCCCTCTAAAGGCATTCCTGTTTCCTGCCACTCTCATTGCCACGCATCCCTGAGCCACTGTCCTCATGACAAATTAATAAAACACAGGTTGGGCCCTTGGTTGGGCCTTTGTTCTGGTGAACCTTCATCCTGGCTGGACTTAGGACCCTTTGGCTCCCCATGACTATACACATTATTTAGTGTCTTTATTCTCACCTTGGGTTGCACTGGAAGTGGTAACTTGGAATTAACTTGCTAGAATTCCAATAACTTTTCTCTAGGGTTACTTCCCGGTAAACTTCCCAGACCAAGATGAGGTCCAGGAAAGGGCTCCCTGTATAGGTGCTCAGAGCTATGGCTGCTCAGATGGGCAGCATCCAACAAAGGACAGTGGCCCCGAGTGACCCCCATGCTGGCTCAACACGGAGGTGGGTTGCTTTGTCTTGTCCTGTGCAGATCCTGGAAAACACTCCGGAAAACCACCCTGACCACAGTCACCTGAAGCACGCACTGGAGAAGGCCGAGGAGCTGTGTTCCCAGGTGAACGAGGGGGTGCGCGAGAAGGAGAACTCGGACCGGCTGGAGTGGATCCAAGCCCACGTGCAGTGCGAAGGCCTGTCTGAGGTAGCGCTGGGCCTGGGCTGCCCTGGTGCTTGTGGTAGCCAACCCGAAAGGGGAAGGGAAAACCCAAACTGGTTCCTTCAGCCTTCAGCTTCCGGTTCTCTCCTCGGCAGCTTCTCATCCGTGGTTTAAACCATCCATCGAGTTTTTATTCCCATGTTGTTCACTCCCGTTGCCAGCAGCTCTGTTTGTGTTCTCCAGTCTGCTGGGTTCTTTCTTGTGTCTTGTTCTTTGCTCAAATGCTTGTGCTTCCCGTTTATTTCTTAACACGTTTAAAAAATACGTTGCATATTCCAGATCTGATCATTCCAATGCCTAAAGGTATGGGTCTTATTATTTTTATTGTTTATTTTTATTATTATATGATTGCAATACATAATAATTACATTCATTTTAGGAAACTGGTGCATATACATACTGCATCTTAGTTATTTCTCTTTGCTCTTGCTAATCTTGCATTATTTTTGTGTATTGTGACTTCTTCCTTCCTTCCTTTTTTCCTCCCTTCCTTCCTTCTTTTCTTTCTTTGTGCTGAGGAACAAATTCATGCTAAGTGCTGTACCAGTGAGCAACATCTTTGTATTGTGGTTTTTTTTTTTTTTTTTTTTTTTTTGGTACCGGGGATCGAACTCATGACTGTGCATTTACAAGGCAGGCACTTATGCTGCTGAGCTAAATCCCCAGCCCTTGTATTGTGATTTTTGACTCAATCAGTGTTTCTTGGCACTTTCCTGTGGGGATCTTTGCTGTCTGAAGTTGCATTCTCCTAGGAGGATTGCTACCACCAGGATTGCCTTAAATTCTTTTCTTTCTTTCTGTCCTTTTTTTTTTTTTTTTTTTTCAGACAGGGTCTCACTGTAGTTCAGGCTGGCCTTGAACTCCCTATGGAGCCCAGGCTGGCCTCGAACTTGCAGCGATCCTCCGTCAACCTTGCAAGTGTTAGGATTACAGGTGTGCACTATCCCATATGACTTCCTGAAATTCTATTTAGAGGGGATTGGGAACCACACAGTTGTGCGAATTGTAACTGTAAACTTGTACGAAACTACCTGATGGTCACAAATTCTCAAGGGTGTACTTTCCTGTATTGACACCAAGATCAAAAGCAATTTTTTTTTCTCATTCTTTCTGAGCTTGAGTTTACTTGTTATTCACTCTTTGGGTCTAGATTTTTGCAGAGCTCTCCTGTTAGGTCCCTTATATAGCTCTGGATATAGCTCCGGTAACCATGTAGCCAAAATGGAGGGTCAGGGTCACTAGTTTCAAGTGACCCTAATGCTGGCTTTGGTATCTGATTATCTTTCAAGAAAGTCATTGGCATTCTATTTTTGACTTCTGCACATTTCTTACTTTGCTTATATTTTTGCCAGATTGCATTTAAAAAGTGATGTTTGTATTTTATTCTCTCTCTCTCTTTGGCTCTTTTGGGTTCTAGTCCTCCATAGTTCCAAAAATGGAAGTAACTTCTTTGACCTTTAATCATCTTTTTATCACTTAATTTTTCCTTTACTCCCATTCTTTGGGCCAATCTTTCTCTCTGCTTCTTATACATGTACATGTGTGCATGAGCACACACACACACTCACACACATATACACACGTGCACATGTGCCTTTCCCCAGGTTGCCCAGGGAGAAAGTGGATCGCTCATTACTCTTCCTGTGGTGTCCTCTCTCTCATTAGCTCCACAGGGGCAGTTGCTACCGGAGCAGACCAGTGGCTCCTCCCCAGCCCACATCCTGTCTGCCTTCTGTGTAGGTGTGAGATAGGCGAAGCTGAGGAAGTAGCCCTGTGGGATCCAAGGTGACAGCTGTGAGCTCCTGTCACTTACTCTCTCACATATCTATCCAGGAAGCATCTAACTAGCGTCCACCGTGACTCAGTACTGTGTCCCCAGAGATGTAAAAACATGTCAGATGTGACTGTAACTCACCGGGCTTTGGTCCTGGAGGAAACTGAGAGTTAAACCAGTATTTGCCCTGAATGTGAGGAAAGAGGAGGTGGAGCTGAGTGATAAGTGGGAGACAAGGCAGAAGGGACAGTCCTGCCTGTGGGGCACTCAGGGAGGGAGTGAGGATGTTTGCCCTGATGTGGAAGGATGATGATCTCCCTCTCTTGCTCTCTAGTAAGGAACCCTGGGCTGGGCCCAGGAGAGGAGACTCATCTCGCACAGGGCACTGGCGGGACATGGAGGTGTGACAGGCTGGTAGCATTCGGAGCAGAGCAAGGCCTGTGCATCCTGGGTAGCTGCTTTGCCTCAGCGCTGAAAACCCGGACTTGCACAGTCCTGAGTCTGCCAGACAGGCGTGCGAGGTGGCGTCACCCACGTTAGAAAAGGCACCTCCCCGAGTCTGACTGCCTCACTTGGAGAGGTCAGTGACCTGGGTCTGCCTCAGGGGTTGGGAATCCAATCAATTCTTGCATTTGATGTTTGACTTTTCCCTAATCACTCTCTGACACTAGTGAGTTATCCCTAATTGACTCTTCTTTCCTGGCGCTTTCTTTGTGGCATTCAGAAGAATGGCAAGGGGACACACTGGCTTCTGTTTTCTGTCTCGTGACCACAGTGTAGACCATGTGTGGCTCACAGCCGGACACAGATCCATGATTAAGTTTCACAGGAATGTGGTCTCTGCTTCTTCACCTGAGACAGGAACCTAAAGACCATTCTCAGTTCATTTATTGTCAGCATTGCCCTGGCCACGTGGGGTCCTTAAACTGAATAGGACTGCGTGACATCCCCTTGATGACATTGGCTTTGGTGACATTCACCTTTTCTGGAATCACTGTCTCCAAGTGGCTAGAGCTGTCCCTTGGCAAGCAAGAAGGGCCAGGTTGCTCCATAGCTCCTGTTAGAGTGTATGGCATAAAGAATACTCTTCGAAGGCTCCTCTTGGGGTACCATCTCAAGGCTTTGGGGTTCTTCAGAACCTAGGGGGAGGATAGAGGCCATCTTTCCTTCTTGGACCTGAGAGTAGAGCAGAGTCACTTTCTCTGTCACCTACTGGTTTTCAGTCAGAATCAACATCCTGTGCTAGAGCTGGGTTGGAGGCCACAGCATCTTGAGGGGACGTGTGTTAGTAGCACCATCACCCCATCACAAATCCCCTTCTCGGAGAGGTCTTCTTTGGAGAGCATCTTGGCCCTGAAGCTGCTGAGTGGAACATTTGCTGGGGCGGATATGGGCTGTGGGCAGATGTATGGGCAGTGGAGAAGGGAGGGTCCATCATGCTTCTGGAGAACAGCAATGTCCCTCTCTGTCCATGTCCGCTGACCAAATGCTACTTTCCCAGCTCCTACCAGAGCATCTCCCTGGGCTGCATCACTGCCCTGCTGCCCAAAAGTGGGGTCCTTCATCCATTCAGAACATGGGGCCTGAGATGGACAATAGACCCCAGGGAGATGTTAAAGTCACTTCTCAGCACTCACAGGTGTCCCTAAGGATTGGTAAGTGGCAGCGAGAGAGCCGTCTCCTTCCTATTTTCAGAAGGAGTGAGCTGGGTGAGATTTCATGTGCACAAGACAGTTATGATTGGCATATCTCATTGGGCAGTGCTGTGAGAGGCCTGGACACTGGGAGGACCACACAGGGCCTTCTCATTGGAGCAGGTTTGTGTCTGGCCCAGCACCCCACACCTAACAGGTGACACTGGCGTGGAAACCGGCAGGGCCTCTTTCTTCCTGCTGCCTCATTTCTCCAATAAATAAAAGGGGGAAACACACCCATCACACCCTAAGACTCATGCAAGCCCCTAGAAAAAGGCTTTGGGAATTATAACTGAGACTCGTCTTTGAGTCTCCAGAACATACCTTTGATCTTGGTTTCTCAGCCCCCAAAGCCCCAAAGTTGCCCTTGATTTATGCCTGCCGCCGCTGCCTGGTCTCAGATTCTGGTGGAGCCTTTGCTCCAAAAACAAACAAACAAACAAAAAACATAACACGTGACCTCCCTTCATGGTGTCTTCTTTGGATTTTGTTTCCTTTCTCAGCAACTGGTGTTCAATTCAGTGACCAACTGCTTGGGACCCCGCAAGTTTCTGCACAGTGGGAAGCTCTACAAGGCCAAGAGCAACAAGGAGCTGTATGGTTTCCTTTTCAATGACTTCCTCCTGCTGACCCAAATCACAAAGCCCTTGGGCTCTTCTGGCACTGACAAAGTCTTCAGCCCCAAGTCCAACCTGCAGTATAAAATGTATAAAACAGTAAGTCCTGCTCTAGTCTGCAGTGCCTTGGTGGGCCTGGGGGGAAGGAGGGCCCAAGGGGAGTAGGGATTTTAGAGATTCAGAAACATCATCCTCTGCCTCCTCCTCTTCTAAATCCCCACCAAATTTCAACACAGTTTGAAGCATCAGTGCTCAGGATCCCCTTAGCCAGCAAAGCCCACTCAGTGGGGAATTTCTGGGGGCTGAGTACCCCATCTGCACATAGACCTATGGCAGTGGCTGTGTGTCTTTGTTGTGCAGGGTTGTTTTTCTAAATATATCTGTGTGGAGGTGTTTTTAACAAAGGCCCTCTCAGAAGCAGCAGCCAGGTTTACTTAGAGGAAAAGAGTGATGTATTTATGTAGACTGTTACTAGAAACTTCGGATGAAAATCCGCGGAGGGAACCGCTTGGATGTGAAGTTAATGGAGCGCATTTGCTGTTTTGGGTAGACCATGGGAATATTAGTTAGATAGTGTTTGTTTATTTTTTGTCCTTGTGAAACAGGATTTCACTATACAGTTCAGGCTGGCCTTGAACTCACTTGGTAGCCCAGGCTGGCCAAGAACTCACAGTGATCCTCCTTCCTTGGCTTCCTAATGCGGGGATTACAGGCATGAGCCAACCCACCCAGCTAGATTTTATTTTTAAAGTTTTTTTAAACCTGCAAAACAGAGGGGGAAATACATATTTATTTATTATTTGCAATATGTAAAAATCAAGATTAATATAACAACCTAATTTTGATATAGTTTACTAGAAAACACACAAACCCACCAGCCTAGCTCATACCCAGAAATGTATGCATACATCCTTTATTGGGATTACTACAACACACACACAAACACACACTGAAGTATGTGCATACACACACACACACACACACACACACGCACACACACACACACGCACACACACACACGCACGCACACACGCAACCTCACGTCCTAGAACATGCTCATGTGAGAACACACATACCCGGCATTGGCTGGTAACCCATGTATGCGCTGTTACTTTCCAGCCTATTTTCCTAAATGAAGTTCTAGTAAAGTTACCCACTGACCCTTCTGGAGATGAGCCCATCTTCCACATTTCCCACATTGACCGGGTCTACACCCTCCGAGCCGAAAGCATCAATGAACGGTAAGACCTGACACCTCACCAGCGCTAGGTGCTGGCCACATGTCCGCAGGTCCTAACTTTCCCCCAACTGCAGAGCCACACCCTCTGTGTGGAGGTGGAGAGAGCATAACACTTTCTTCCTAGGACCTCTCAAAAATTGGACACATGATGTGAACAGTTTTTCAAAATTAAATGGATTAAAAATTAATTTTGCTGGAACTTTTTTTTAAAAGAAATTTTCTTCATTCTTTGAGATAAATGCAGCATCTTGGGTTTCCCCAGATTGCAGAAACCAATAGGAAAGCGATTTGGGGTTGAATAGGACCACCTGCACCCACACCTGAACCCTCCTCGGCCAGCGCCATGGGATGGGCCTTCTGCATGCTTGGGCTGTGAGTCTTTCGCTTCAGTTCAGTCTTCAAGACTCTGCCCCTGAGCCAGATGCAATAGATCATTTTCTGAAGGGTGAGCTTGACACGAGGCGAATAGCATTCCTAAGAGTCCCTGTGCCAAGTAGGAGAACTGGCTAAAGTTGCAGTGCATATGGCTCTGAGAAAAATGACGAAGGCACCATGCCAAATTGCTTCCTGCAGTGCCCTTTGCTGCTTTGTTTGAAGCAGTTACTGGTCTGGGGCATTTTTCCCCACCTTTCCTTGGGTGATTTTGCAGAACAGATCCTTCTACCTTACCTTACGGGGTTGGGCAAATATGTCATGCTTTTCACCGTGGGAAGGAGAGGAGCCATGTGCTGTCACCAGAATGGCATTTGTCATAGATTTTCTTCCACAAAGACACAGATACAGATGTCAAGGACACCCCTAGAACTACTGCTCATGGCTTTCTAGTAGCAGTGGGGATAACTATTAGCATCTTGTGATATAAAATCAAATTCCTGTCATTAAAATCAAGAGCAAAGGAAACAGAGTCTTGGAAACAGATTTTGAGCAGACCTGAAGTCTTTTTTTTCCTGAATTCTGTTTGGCAACATTCTGTCTTTTCCCATCCAAGGACTTCCTGGGTGCAGAAAATCAAAGCTGCTTCTGAGCTCTACATAGAGACTGAGAAAAAGAAGCGTGAGAAGGCGTACCTCGGTAATGTGCCATTCGGCAGCGGGACCTGTGGTTCCCGCAGAGCTGGGAGAGGCATTTGGTTGGGCCCAGAATCCTTTGCACTGGAAGTTGAGGGGGCAGGAGACGGGATGGGATGGAAGTGTGCACAGGGTCACCCATGCAGGGGTGGGGGAGGAGCTCCAGTGCAAGCGATAGGCAGAAGAGGGGAGAATTGGTTTTGAGTGGGGACAGGTGCATAAGACATTGTAAAGCACACTGGGATGGGAAAGGCATCAGCTGTTACAGTGAAACATGCTGTTATGTTCTCTGTCCCCCTAGTTCGTTCCCAGAGGGCAACAGGTATTGGAAGACTGATGGTGAACGTGGTTGAAGGCATTGAATTGAAGCCCTGTCGATCACATGGTAAGGACTAAGGAATCCCCATATCACGCTTTGGTATGGGAAGTCCTTTCCGAACTGTCCACACCCTCAGGCAACTTTAACCAACTTAAACCAAGTATGCTATTTCTGATCTTAAATTTCCTTCTGGAATGGGTTTGTTAAGAAGCTAAAGGTGGGGGTTTTTTGGTTGTTCATACTGTTTATCTTTTGTGCTGTTCTGCCTTTTGGGGAGACCCAAGCAGCTCCCTTCACAGTGTGACAGAGAGACAGAGATGAAGCACCAAGTTTCAGGGCCCTTTAACCTAATTATTTGTTCCTCGTGTAAGTGTGGTGCTGAGTTTTAGTTCTCACCCAGGTTTTCCACTTATTAAGCATCACAGTGGAAGGGGTTCAAAATGAGGTGTCATTCCCACAAGGCAAAGGCTTTTGTTCACTCCAGGAAAGAGCAACCCATACTGTGAGGTGACCATGGGTTCCCAGTGCCACATCACTAAGACAATCCAGGATACTCTGAACCCAAAGTGGAATTCCAACTGCCAGTTCTTCATCAGAGACCTGGAGCAGGAAGTCCTCTGCATCACCGTGTTCGAGAGAGACCAGTTCTCACCAGATGGTGAGTACAAAGTGTCCCCTATGGTGCCCGCCCCTCTCCTGTCACTCATCTCGTGTAGGTGTGTGTTTCTTACCTGAGAACTTGTGCTAGATTTCCCTCCTGAGACACCAAAGTTGGTGCAACGCCAGGAGATGCTGGAGGCATCTGAGATGAGGTGGATAAAGCATGCTTGGTGTGGAAAGCAAATTGCTCCAGCTACTTTGGACAAGGACCATGGTCACATGTTTCCCAAAGCAGGTGGCTGTAAAGAGGAGTATTGCCAGCTGACTCAGTGCAGATCTTTAATCCTTAGCAAAAAGCCGTGGGGTGAACTAGCCAGTACAGCTGCAGTGTTAGTCTAGGACAGGTGCAAAAGAACCAGATTTTGTCCTCTGGGTGACATCTCTGAGTAGGCAAAGGGATGTCATTGCGTTAAGTGCATCGCTCCTTCAGCCAGCTGTTTCTGCTTCAAGCCTGGAAAAGGAAGCTCAACTAGCATATAAATCCAAGAAACTATCCTCAACCCAACACATATCAGCAAGGAAGGATCTAATGTAAGTATTATCTGTGCCAGGTTTTAATAGCCCTATGTGTCCTTTTATCATTTTGTGTTTCTTTATATAATTATCTCACCTCTGCTGTTAGTTTGCCCAAAGACCGTTTTCATAGCTGGTTAAAAATCAGAGCATGGCTAGAATGGCTGGACTATTAACCACGATGTTTTATTGTCAGCTTGTATTTTGACAAGTCGAGGTTTGGAGTGAGATTGTGTCCTTAAATTTTTTATTAAAATATTTTTAGTGGACACATAATAATTATACCTACTTATGCGGTACCGTGTGACATTTTGATACAAGGATATAGCATGAAATGGTGAGATCAGGTAACTGGTATAACCATCACCTCAACCGTTTTTCATTTCTTTGTGTTGGAAACATTTAAAATCTTCTTTCTGTCTCTCTTTTTTAATAATGAAGTATCACAGCACCTTGACAATGCCAAGGGGAACAAGTTGAGATGGTAATGTAAGTTAATCTTACATCAGAGATTAGAGAAAGGAGAGTTCAGTAGTTCTTCAGAGATTCCCAGAAAGACAGATATGGGCCTTGAGGATGAGGGATTCCTTCTAAATAGTCTGTTTGTTCTCCTTGCAGATTTTTTGGGTCGGACAGAAATCCGTGTGGCTGATATCAAGAAAGACCAGGGCTCCAAAGGGCCAGTTACGAAGTGTCTCCTGCTGCATGAGGTCCCCACGGGAGAGATTGTGGTCCGCCTGGACTTGCAGTTGTTTGATGAACCCTAAGAAGTAGCTTGGGACGTGCTCAGTGGATTTCCAGCCCGAGGCTGCGTGTGCTGTCTGGAAACTGGGTTCCTTGTCTAAGAAAACACCACTGGGTGTTGAGCCACAGAGCAATGGGATGGCAGAGACAGGCCCCTCGAATCTTCTAGGAGTAACTCTTGACAATCCTGCCCCTTATAACAATCTCCTGTTTTATGGAACAAAACTGTATTTTCTTTTGTCCTGTCATGGCTTCTAGGGTCTCTGAAATTCCGTAATTCTCTTTTAGGTTCAGTTGAGAGCCTGGCCCATCACTGGGTGTGAGGTGTGGACTGGTTACTATGAAAAAGATTTATAAATGCAGTGTCTGTGTTTTTTGGAGAACTCATGTAGCCTTTCTGTTTCTCACCTCTGCCAGCCCCTTAGGAGACTCCTTGACCAATAGAGCCATTGGTGTGTTAGAAACAGTTATGATGGAATTGTTGCTTTGAAATCTCATCCTCCCCACCCCAGGGAAATGCTGCCTGGGGTCTGATGGTGTGGTGTGATGGTCTCTTAATCAGGTACCAGTTTAGCTCTGTGAAGAACTGGTCCCTGGAAGGTTCTAGCATGTGAGCTGTCTTAGCCGTTTCATTCCCCTCTCGGCCTTGTGTTAAACATGTCAACGAGAACACACAGTGGATCATCAGATAATTCCTTTCTGATCCCCAGCGTGCTTTGAAGATGGTCACAGAAGCTCATTCTCTACAAAATTGTGCTCTGTTCGATCAGATCCCTGTTGGGGATCTGATCCCTGTTGGGTCATTGGGAAGGCAGCTTTGTCACAACCAGCTGGGTCCTGGTTGCCAGCATTGTTGGAAAAAGTTCTATTGGATTGGCTTGTGATGTTCCACGACAAGTTTTTGCAGGTGACCAGCTCTCAGTCTGTTTTATGCTCAAATATATCAGATCCCAACTGCTGTGGGAAATTTCAGCAGGTGGTATGGAGCCACACCTACTTTGGTTTTGCTAGGTTCCCCAAAAAGTGGTGTCCTGGATCCCTAAGGTTTAAAAAGGAAAACTGACAAGCTAGAGGGGGAGTAGAAACATGTGAAGAAAATGCATTCCGTGGTGGGGAGAGACCCTAGGAGAAGCAAGCCCCACCAAGCTGGGAGAAAGACCTAAGACTCCTTCCTGCATTTTTCCAGGTACAGACCAACTTTTCAGTAATGGAAACACAAGTGCTTGTGGCCAGAATCAGGAGTGGAGGACCGTGTACCCAGATGTTGTGCTTGTTTGCTTTGGTTTTGCCCTTAAATGCCAGGAGACAGGCTGGTGAATGAGATAATATCTTGATTCACTAATGCAAGGTGCGGGCCCAGTATTTTGTTTGCATGTTTTAATGTTCTCATAATCGCAGTTTGTAGAGGTTGTAAAATGTTCCTTGCATGTTCTCCTGGTACAAGAATCCAGTCTAGCTTTCCCACATTAGACGGTATTGTCTTTGGTTGTAGATTAAAGTTGTAGTGGAGAACTTTCTAAACAATCACATCAGCACAGTGGCAGAGTACCCATGTTGCTGGGAATCAGTGTGTAGCGTTACAACTTCCCACAAGAGCCCTGTCACGTTTCAAGTAATTTTTTTAAAAGTGTATGTTGGAAAGGACAACAAAGTTTACATTTCATACTTTTAAGAAATACTGTATTATTTATTTATTGAAGATAGTGTAGAATTTTGTATCAAGAGCAACAGACATAAGTATTTTTTTGAAACAAGCAGATAATCTCTTTAGTTAGAAACTTTCAACTGGACGTGTCCTAGACCGAGTTCACCTTCAGGCATGCATTTCTTTACCACTTCCCAGCGGAAAACATGGTGAAAATACTTTTAAGTTTATATTTTTGATGTTGTTAAAAAACTTTTAAATCCAAAAATAGACATGTAACTCATGCTTTCCTGTTTCTATAACCAATAGTTTTATTAAGTACCCTAGTAGAAAAAAAGTATTACATGTATGCGTGGGGCAGTGTGGGGGAACGCTCCCAATCTGTTTCCTTCTGTTCTCCTTTTTCTTCCTTTACTGACTTTATTTTTGTGTTAATGTTGGACATCTCTGTCCCTGTGGGGAGGGTGTGGCTAGAAGACAGACATCTTTTAAGCTTATCAGTTCCAGGTCACTTACTAAATAGGGTCCTGTTATTGGAATTAATGTAGCACGAAAAAACTATAGATGAGTTGTTTTCCCCAGATGACTCTTCTGAGCATCCTTCAGATGCTCTCTCAGAGCAGCAAGTTCTGATTAGTTCTTTGTATTTACTGAGGTAATCTGTGACCTGATTGATCATACTTATGGGCCCCGTACCCAGGTATGACTTGTGGAGAGAGAGGAGCGTGGATGAGTCTCAGACGCTTGGCCCATTATTTCTTCACCTCTACTTTTTTAACCTTATGGACTACATTTAATAAGATGAAATGCCCTTTCTAGTAAGAACTCTGAGTCCTAGCTCTTTGCTTCCCAAATACAGGGTCCCTCCAGGCCGTGCTTCTTGGCATCCTGATCCTGGCCTTTTCGACACTTGCAGATGTCCTTCTTCTGAGCCGTACTGTTAGTTTTTCCTGCTCACTCTGAACTCCTCTCACCCAAGAGGAGGAATTCCTGGTGGTGATGCTGTGACCCTCAGCCATCCCTTAGAATTATCCTGGAGGACAGGAGTCCGTGGGCTGGGTCATCAGACCAGTGGACCTTAGGGACAGCCCACATCCAAGTCCCTATCAGCAAGCCTTCTGGGGCTGTTTCCTCTCCTAGCAGGTAGACTGATAACATTGTCTCCATGAGCAGGGTCTTCTGTGGTCACCAGAGCCTGAAGACGTATGTGGCTCATTCAGATCCAGTCCTGGCCTGACTGGGCAGGAGGGACCTTTGTAGGCAAGGGCCACTGGAAACGGTTAAGAAACAGGCCACGCTTCCTTTGCTGACTGCTCAGCTTATGTTTCTGTCCTCTGCTGGCAGAGGAGAAAACTCTGTTTCTAAAGAACATCATATGGAAGAGGGAGTATATTTTTCCTTCTTTTTAAACACTAACATGACCTAGGTACTATATGAAAGTATTTTATTTTATCTGGTAGAGTTGATCCGAACTAAATTGGAAATAATTCTATCAGAAAATGGGTAAATTGGCCATTTGCACTATGTCTTTTCTTGGTGAACTGTAGTACCAAAAAGTGTCCTCTGGAATGTCTGAGGGGATCCAGAGGATGTGGAAGGATGATTGCAGGTTTATCTTCCAAGGATGATAGCAAGTCTGCCCAGCTATCTCCTGAGTTGTTTGGAGCCATGCAGAGTGAGAATCTGGAAGGGCTGGATATCAAGGGCCACATGGACAAGGCACCTCTGGTTTTGTTTGAAAGGTGAAGGTCTTAGATTATCTTTTAGAGTCTTATCGTTTGTGTGGAGAGAAAACCACTATCTCTACTCCAACTGGCCAATCTCTACTCTACTTGGGTGGGCCTTTTTGATTCATAGGAAGAAAACTGGTATGCAACAGTTTAAAGAATTTCCACTGGAAATAGAATGAGTGACGTGATTCGACTTGCACTGATTTCTTTAGTCTTCTTTCCCTTTCGGGGATGAGATGTGCTTTAGAGGCGACATCAGCACTTTGATGAGGACACGTTTAGACACAAGAGATCATTTCAGGCTCGGGGTTTTGTAAGATTAACAATGGGTTTGCTTGTTGTAGATATATTTGCTTTACAAGCACAAAGCATACTTATGCCAGAAAGTAAGGAGATTAAACACAAATGAGCTGGATGTTTTTGCTGTGCCTATACAAGAAGAGGTTTAGCTCCTACAGCAGCTCCAGAAACTGCAGTGCAGCCTTGTCTGTGGACAGGCATCTCAAGGTAACAGCAGCACACTTTCTTCAGGGAGTCCTTGTTGTGGTCCCGATTACCACCGGGTCCCAGGAAACAGCCGGAGGAGGGACCATTTCCTTTATGGTTTTCAGGCCTAATTGTGAATCTAATTTTTTAAAGTCATTTAAATAAAAATTTATATCCATCTCCAAATAACTACCCTAGTTCCACACAGGGCACAATCAGCTCTTCTATTCAAAGTAACCCCTCTCTGCCTTGGCCTTGGGGAAACAAATAGGGCTCATGTGCTAATTTTTTTTGACGCTATGTGTGTTCTCGTATTTCAGGGTGAATCTGCCCTACTGTGTGTCAGTGTGTTTTGTAGTTGTTTTAATAGGATTCTTTTCTATTTTGTTTACCAGAAGTATTCTATTGTCTAATGAATGAATTGTAGTATCAAAGCCCATCAAGAAAAACTGTTCAGAAGTGGGCTGATGTGGTGAGCCTTGAAAGAAATCCAGCACTCTTCTGATGTTTCTTGAGAACCAATGTTTCGGTACTGATATTTCCTGCCCAAGGTTTCTTTATATGCAGTGGTAGGGATGCTTATGTTCTTCTCTTCGAACTCTGCTTTTATACTTTAGTCATTTAAAAAGGTGAAATTCCTGTGTCTACACCTGCATTCCTTTGCCTTTCTCTTCTTCAGCTCTAGCCTGGTTTGCTCCTGCTTCCATGTGGAGACAGGGTAGGGGGTCCGGGTGAACTGGAGCCCAAGACCAGGTGGCAGCTTTGCAGCATTTGGTCAAGTGGCAGCAGCTGCCTTTCTAGAACTGTCCCTGCTGGCCACTTGCTGATCCCGCTGGCCAGTCCCAAGGCACAGGCCCCCCTACTGCAGCTCCCAGGTGTTGCTCTGTGTACAGAGCAGGAGGAACTTACGAGGAGTTAAGTAAGCAGGGGAACTGACCCAGAGCCAGGATGTGGACCTGGCTGAGCAGAGATCTTACCCAGGGAGAAGACCAAAGGTGGAAGGGGAAAGGCAGCTGGCAGTGCGTATGTGCATTTCAGCCCTTCACTGGCTTCCCATTGGAGGTGTCCACTGCTGCTGGGTGGTGGGGCTTCAGGGCAGGCCAGGTGGGGTTCTGGAAGCAGGGCCTCTCTACTTGGGTTGGATGGCAGGCTTTGCCATCTGGCATCTTTAATGATGGGGGTGTAGCCACTTGTATGGGTGCAGGTGTGTGTGCGTGCACGTGCAAGTGCGTGCACATATATGTGGGGCGTGCTTGTATGTGGGTAGTGCATTTGTGCATGTATTCTTGGCTATGTGAATTGAAAGGCCAGACAGGAACATGTTCCGATCCTCCCCTGGACGCCCTCAGCACGACCAGCACATAATCTGTGAGGCAGGTGTAAACTGAAAACTCAGGCCCCTTGTTTCAAAAAATTCCGAATTCAAGATCGTCATAGCAAAGCCTTAATCACAACCAAGGCCCTTAGGAGTGTAGGACCCTTGGTGACCCTACCTGCCCCACGCTCATGCAGGCTGTCCTGCCACCCTGCATTTCCAAGTGGATCTTGAAGCAGGGGAGGCCTCATCTTTCCCTTGGAAATCTTCCCTGGCAGGCTGTGCAGAGGTGGGCTGACATGATTTTCAGAACTTCTGCTTGTATGAAATACAAGCAGAAATGGTCTGGACTAATTAGAGGATGCGGAACCTGAGCTCTGAATTGACAGAGGCATCTTAAGTCAGGAGAATGTGTTGTCACCCACAGTGGCTGGAGCGGGTCTCTGGGGGTGACACTGGATGCTAAGCAGCCTTTGAACCTTAGCGACTGAACTCAACACCTTGAAATAAAATCTTCCCCTGTGGTTAGTCATCCCCTGGAGCTTTTCTTTGCATTCATGGTGGGATGGCAAGGTTTTTCCAAATTCTGGTGTCAAAGAGAAGCTGGAAGTGTCCTACAAGTGCTGTGTCTCTCCTTGTTCCTTCCTGGGGAAGAGGTTGTGTGGAGACAGTGACTTCCAGCTGCGCTGTCTCTGTAGGATCTTGGTGACTTTTAGATAGGGTGGTGTTAACAGAAAGAAAAGACCCTGCTGTGTGTACAGCCCTGTGCTCTAGAAGACCAAGGTGCCAGGGTGGCTGAGGACCATGGATTAGACCCCCCCAGGTGTGTGCTTATTGCTTTCTTATACAAGCTTGCTTTTGCTGGGCTGGAGGCTTCAAAACCCCTGCAGGTCTGCTTGATTTTGCATATGTAGTGCCATCACTACATACACAGTGAAAATCGTCACTGCATTTCCTGATTCTAGCTGGGGTTGTGCTTGCCAAGTAAAAATGTTCACACAAACAGAAATTACAAACCCATCTCTCGTGAATTTGACTAAATCATCTTGGAGGAAGTAGCAAATTATAGCTTCATTTCCACATGTTGCACAATCTTTCAAACCGTGTAAATTTCACACTGCGAAATCATTTTCTAGAGGCACTTAATATTGTATCAGAGTTAGTTTTAATAAATGAATATTTTGAGATACAATTATAAATCAACATCCTTAAAATGTTATCTGCTAAGTAGTTACGGTGTCAGAAAGTAGGTGATTCCAGTAAGATTCTTGTTAAGGACATTTAGTTTGAGACATGCATTTGAAGCATATATTACCAATAACATGAACATCTGTGACCTGTGAAATCAGTCTTAGACCTGCTGCAGCACAAGGCTGTGGCCTGCACCCTCCTGGCCTTATCGTAGCTCTGTCGATGAGGCGTTGGCTACAGACTCGCCCCTGTCGTATTGCCTTTGCTCCATCAGCTTTGTCTCCTCACATGTGTAGGTGATGAACATATGTGTAAATACATGTATACAAATAAGATGCCGCCCCACAATGTCCCGTGTATGATAATCAGCTTGCAGCTTCTGCATTTTTATGCTGTTTCCAGCTAAGAAAAATGCAGGATTCCGCTCCATAATGTGAAAAAGGTTGTGCTCTTTAAATGGCTAGTTGTGAAATCTCTGCTGTGTGTTTATGGAAATGACTAAGACTAAATGTATATACAGTATGTAAGGCTATGCTGTTAAATGTTGCTTAAACTTAGATTGTGTAGTCTAAAATATTTAACTTGTTACTGCAAAATGTGATTTGTCATTGAGAGATTATTTTTCTGTATGTATATGAGAGTATTTTAGGAATCTAATTTAAGTACATAAAATTATAGAAAAAATTTAAACCTATTCCAGTGGTAGAAAAAGCTTAATCCGATGAACTGGGTTCAACCTGATTAAATTTCTTATATTTAAAAAAAATACAGGTTGTACATGCTTCGAGATTCAAAGGAGTTAGGTTTGGATCCTGCAGGGAATATGATGGATTTCAATTTTAGGAAATGGGTAGTGATGCATTGAAATGAAAAGTATCCTTTAGCCATGACCAATAGAAGACCTCTGCATTGCTTAAAATTGCATAAAATTGATTTGTACAGGCAGTGTATTAGGCCTGGGAGTCTGCCTTCCATGAAGCCTATGTGCCACAAACGCTTCCTTGGATGTAAGCGGATTAGTCAGGAATCTGGGGTGACCAGCTGTCCCACTAGAATTTAGGCACTTTCAGGGAGGCCTCGCCCTAGATTGCAGCCAGCCCTTCCCACTCCTGACAGACTCAGCACCTCCCTTTCTCCTTTAGTGTTTGCATTTTCCGTGGGGTATATGTACCAGGGTACACCTTAGCCTGCTCTAATGATTGCACAGCCAGGTGGGAGGCCCAGTTTGGGATTTCTGGGCTAAGGCAAAACAGCTGGAACAGAGGAACTTCATGAATGCCTGAACCCACTTCTCTGATGGAGCGAGCGCTCCCACCCCCCTCCCAGTATCTTTTCCAGAAAGGTATCAGCCCTGCAGGTGACCCAGGGAGTTACATGAAGCTCTGTGTCTAAACCTGAGAGATGCGTTCAGATGTGGTTACAGGAGGTCCAGACCTGAGTCCCCATTTAACGACCAGAGATGCTGTGCTGAGAAGGCATGGTGCTTCAGGGCCACTGAATGTTGATCACTGTTGAAAGTGGAGGACCAGTGATCTGGAAAGACTTACAGAGAATATGAGCATTAGGTTTCCCACATTTCCTCTTAATGCAACTAATGCTGCCAATGAACACATTTTTGTTTTTTGTTTGAGACAGCATCTCACTATGCAGTTCAGGCTGGTCTTGAACTCACAGTGATCCTCCTGCCTTGGCCTCCCAAGTGCTGGGATGACAGGTGTGCACCACCATATAGGCTCAAGTCTTATTCATAGACCGAACACTGGTGAGCACTGGAGTCCAAGTAGGACTCAGGAAGCTTCTTGGAATGTGTTAGGTGTATGAATCACCTGGAAGTCACCTCGAACTGTCCACAGGATCTATAACCACCTTTATTCCCAAAGATGGAGCCATTTAGAGATTTCTTTTTTCAAGGAGAGCCTGGGAAGGCCACTTCCGGCCAGTGAACAGAACTAGGCAAGCTCTGATCCCCGTCCCCCAGATAGGCCCTGATGCTTCTCCCCCAGAACGATGGCCTCTTGGTGGGTGGTCAGTAGGGCCATGGATGGGGTGAGTCAGCCAGTCCACAATCTCCTGGGCCCCTTGGTTCTGAGCCCGTGGATGAAAGCCTGAGCGGTAGCCACGCCCAGTGGTGCTGCAGAGCCCTCCGTTAGCCTTTGCTTGTTTGTAGAATGTAATCAGCTGCCACATGCAGACTTGGACTTGCGGTGGTGAGGGGGCGGTAGTGCTAGAGGCAGGTTGTGCCCCTTGGTGCTCCCAGCGGTCAGACCAGGCCACCCTGGTGGATGTCCTGTTGATTGTAATATACTTCTGTTGCCAAATAACGGTACTATTTAATTTTCCATCAAAGGGACTATATTGTCTGCTATGTAATGTTAATGGAGTTCTAAAAATAACTAGACTTTATTATAAATGGTAGAATTACGTATTTGTCTAAGATTTGATGAAGCAGGGCCGAGAATGTTTGTTTTGTTTTGTTTAAAAGAAGCTGAGGTTGTTTTGCTGTTTGAGTGTCCCTCTGGCACCTTATTATGTGTGAAATGTTAAATTCCATCTCAGATTATGGTAACTGAGGGGTTTCTATTTTTTTTTCAAACCAGTAACACCACCAGTAAAAATGGCTGTTCCTGTGCATTTTGAACCTCAAAAGAACAATCTCTTCAAAACAATTCCTTGGTCATTTTGACCTGTATGGTTTAAATTCACATAGTTCATGAATAAAATGAGAAAAGACAACCCTGCAACAGTGGATTATTTTGGTTCCTTCCTGCCCCACCTCCTGGTTAGGTGCATGGGAAGGGAACAGCTCTGCAGATGCCGTCTCTTTGTATTTCCTTATCCCACAGAAGAGGCTTTAGTTATGCAAGGAAAATTATACTAAAACAAACTTAGAAAGCAAAACAAACCAACAACCCTTTCAACTCTCCTGTACCTTCAGGTGAGTGTTAGCGCCTGGGGAAATACACTGTCTCGTGCCAAGTGTTTAATCTGAGTAAGAGAAATTGTTATGTTGTGTAGCAAGAGAAATGTGAACAGCCAGAGGGAGACAGAAGGCCAAGACTGTTTTCAAAGACTCAGGAGGATCACCCTCAATTTCTAGATAGCTTCTCACACAAACACCTCTGCAGTCCCAAGCTTTTGTCTTTTACCTCAGGGTGCCATTAGCAAACCCAACACTGAGTTTCACTTTTACAGAACTTTCTTTTGTTCTGGTTTCAAGGGAATCCTACTTCATCACTGATATAACTGGTAAATACATCCTCTGTTTCCTAGGTGGCTTGGACACGAAATGAATGGTGACGACACATTTTTAAAACACTGACCCACAAATAGACCTTAACTAGCACATTCATTTTTGAATATATGAAATTTTAAACAAATGAAACTTTAAAAGTACTTTAGGGCTGGGAGTGCAGATCAGTGGTAAAGCACTTGGCCAGACATACAAGGTCCTAGCTTCAATGCCCAGCAATGTCTGCACTGGGTGTTTGACCCTCACTACTGACAGCTACCATGCACTGAGCACATCTCGTGCACAAGACACTATTCAATCACAAAATTTAAAAATGATCACGTTTTGTTTGACTGCCTTCTAACCAATCAGCTTGACAATACTATTCTGCCACTTAAGGTCTGGATAGTACTGCATGATCTGGCATCCTAATTTACCCTAGTTTGTTTAATCCTAGTAGCTATGTTTTGAGTCTTTCTAACATCTTCACGATAAAACATGCTGAGGGTAGGTTGCTCAGGTACTCTGATGATCTCATCAAGTGGTATCTGAAACATTTCATTTCCTGTTTTATGTGTGTATCTGAGGTGACAAGGGTTCCCCCAATGGTAGCTTTGTATCAGCTGTCCCACACCTCTAAGAGTCCTGTGGTTTCTGTGTGGGTCTCACTGCAATGGGAAGCCAGGAGGAAAACAGATCTAGGAAAAACTGCAGCGTGAAGTTAACCTCAGCTGCAGGGACAGAGCCTGCCTCAGCCCATCAGCAGCACAGGCTATTTCTCCCTGATTGCCTAGTGCATCGGCATTCTGTGGGGACTGTGCCTTCAACCTCATCTGCATCCAACCAGATAAAGGGGACCCACTCAGAGGGAGCTGGGGGCTGCTGCAGGTGAAGGCAATCTGCCAGGTGCAGCAAGGCAGGCTGGTTAACGGCTCTAGCTGGATGGTTCTATGACCCTTGCTTGTTTGGGGAATGGCTACTGGGCCAATCAGCAGTAGCTGCATTTGTGGCTCCTGGGAAAGCACCAAGTGCTCATTGTTCTGCTAGGTTTTCTCATAGCTGGTTTAATAGGACACTTGTGGTCAGGCCAGTGAATAGCCAGGCAGAGGTGACCCGGTCCTCATGTGCACTCATGTGCAGGGAGCGGCCTCGGGCCACGCCAGTCATTCCTAAGACTTGCACAGTGCAGTCCTCTCACTTCTACCCAACCAGTAATGCCACATCTCCCCAAATAGTCATATTCTTTTGCTTGGTGGCTACTCCGTAAGGCAGGTGAAGCACGGGAGGCTGACTGGGGCTGGCATTTTTCATTGCTACTTTTCAAGGCTGATTATTTTCAGACTAGGCCTTATTTTCAGCGAAAGAGGATACCTCTGAGAAAAGCCAATCTGTTGGCTACATACTCTAGGAGGTGACCAAAGAATGGGTACCCAGGACTGCTGCCTAGGTAACTCCATTTTCTCTAGCAGTCAAGACGGGAAATGCTGTGCAGAGCTGCTCGCTTTGGCTAATGGAAACACTGAGGGGTGAAGTGTGGAGAGGCTTGAGACTTGCCTGAGATGGGACTGGCAGAGACATGGAGGAACAAACAAGAGATTGGGGGGGGGGGGTGGAAGATTGGCTCCATCGTGATCCACCAGTAGCCTGGTGCACCGCCCTGAGCCCTGAGCGAGTCCCCAGGGCCCTCCACCTTTCGCTCATTTGTAGAGTGGGATGACGTCTGTCCCACCTGTACCACAGATTTCACTGAAGTAAATTGTACAAATCATGGCCTTGAGAGCTGCAGAGTATGACCTCCCTTGAGGACAGTGGAACAAGTCACCCAGCGACAGACCAGGGACCACAGTTCTCAGTCTCCTTGGAAGACACGAGACCTGGGCAGGCGGCACGAGGTGGTATTTATTGGGTGACTCGGTGTTGGGGTTGTTTAATCAGTTCCTAGGAACAATCTCTGCAAACCAAATTCTCCAGCCAGCGTGGCCTTTTAAACTTATAACTGGGGGACACTGGAAGATATGAAAATAAGACTCCCTGTGCTCTACTTTTAAAGACAGTAGACATGACACGGCCTACTCAGGAAGCATTTTACTGGAGCTCCAAGGTTAAGAATTCCCACTGATGACAGAAAGCCAACACATTCAGATCACCTCCCGCATGGCCTTGCTCAGCTTCTGAATCTTGCTCTTTGCAGACATGTCGACGTATTTCTCCCCAATGCGGACAATCATCCCACCCATGATTGAGGGATCAGTCTAGGGAGGAAAACAGGTTGGAAACATGAAAAGGCGCTGATACCATCTCACCTATCAGAAGGACAGATGAAAAAGTGCTCAGAACTGGTTACTGTGGCTCACAAGTCTAAAACATCATATTTTGGAAAACGAAGGTATGAAACTGCATGAGATCAATGACTTAAACAGACAAATCTAATTTTTCATGAATACCTGTTTCAGCCATTTTAAATTCCAGATAACCCAGGAAATACCACAACTAATAAAAAACCCACCTTCACCTCCAGCTTCAGCACTTGGCCCTGTCCTAGGAAGCTCTTCAGGACTGCTGTTAATTCAGAGAGAACAGCTTGGTCTAAAGGCTGAAAAAGAGCAGATCACCCATTAAATGTAAATACAGTCACAGTCAAAAACGGAAGGGAAAAACTCCAGGGGCGCACATCTGTCTTAAATTTCCGGGGACCCACGGAGCAGCTGTCCCTGCCGTGCAGCCAGAACCCCTGCAGTTCAGCAGTTCGCTGATTGCCCAGAAAGCTGCTTCCATAGCGCCCTGGGCAAGAGGGAGCCCTGTGCTTAGCAAAGCCTGAAGGCTCAGGCCTCACCACCACAGCCCCACGGTCGCCGTGGGGTGCAGTGCTTCTGGGTCAAAACACTGCAGATGACAGCGTCCTTCAGTTCCCAGCTCTACTGTTGTTCCCTCAGGACCGTGGTCACCTGGAGCTTCACTGAGGTGCAGGGTGCCCTCCTGGGTCAGGCGAAGAGGGGACAGTGAGAAAGGTGCTGAAGGAAAGGCCCATGATCTCTCACAAGTCCTCCCACGCCTCAGGCAGGAGATGGAAGGCCAGGGCAAGCCTCAGCTTTGTGAAATCCTAACCGTACTGTTTGGGAGCAGCAGGCCAGGTTCAGTGGTCCTTCTGGACATTGCTGACACAGCAAGGTCCACAGCCCAGAATCTGCCACCTCCCTTCATCAGAACAAGGCAGTGAGGCTGGTGGGCCCCACTCCTTTTAATCTGTGAGAACAGAGGCTCAAAGTGGGTGAAACCTTGCCAGAAGACAAGTGGCAAGGGAGGGTTAACACATGTACCTGCAGCTGCTGCTGCTGCTTCTGAAGTCTGTGGACACACTTAGTGACAAAGGTGTAGTTTTCTGGAGTTTTTTTTGGGAACTGATGCTTAAACTCATGATCTCATGCTTACCAGGAAAGAGCTGAAGCTGCTGAGCTAAATCCCCAGCCCAGGTGTAGTTTTCTTTTTTAAACAGTGGACACTTACTTGCCTTGGAGTATCACTACTGAAAATGACAGTAAGGGGGTCCTAAGCATCCTATGAAGAGGAGCACCTTTTTAAAGTCCTGCCTGTGTATTCACTGCCCGGAGGCCTGTGCCAGTGCTCAGCATGGTGATGGAGGCCCCGAGAGTGCTGTGCTTCCGGGGGAGCCAGTGCAGCTGTGTGGGCTCCCTGTGTCCATCCCTGCTGGGACAGTGCCTGGTCAGGCGCGTGTGGTAGGGACACCGACTACACAATGAAATCAAAATGTGCAAAGGGGCATTCACATCTCAACTGACTGTCTGTGGAACTGTGCTGTCTGGAAGGATCTGAAGTCCTTCTCAACACTAGCATTATTAATCTAGATGAAGGCAGAGCTGCAGACTGCAGAGGACTCCAACTACTTCACTGATGGTTAAGCGTGGACAGTCTCCCTGTGCTGATTGAACTATGTCAGGAAGAAAGTGATGACGACGATCATTTTCTTCTTGCAGTGCTGGGGACCGAACCCAGGGATGCTCTACACCAGCCCTTTTTATATTTTGAGACAGGGTTTCATTAAGTTGCCTTGCTTGGTCTTATTCTTTCGATCTTCCTGCTTCAACCTTCTGAACAGCTGGGATTACAGGCATGTGCCACCAAACCCAACAGGGAAATATGTATCTAAGACATTAACGGAATTATTTCTGGGGAGATAACATAGTGTAGCTTAAGGAACGGACTTCTGAGACAGAGAGGACTGAGTTCCCTGATTCCCCCCTCATGGAACTCTGGGCAAGCCACTGGAAACCCTGGGCTTCAGTCTCCTCACGTGTAAAATAACAATTATACTTCCACCTCACGTGGACCTTCCGGTAATCCATCAGATAATGAGTCACACAATGCCGAGTACACGGTGGGCTCACTGGCTAGAGGCAAGACACTACAGTCCTCTCTAGCAAGTCAAAAAGATGAAACGGCCTATCCACATTCCTCTTCCCATGCAGGAGCACAATAGATTTAGAGATCAGAAACTCTATTCTAAAATTATCTTCTTAAAATGATATTTAAAAAAGAATTCAAATCTACAAAGGATCACAAACTACTATTTTAAACACATTTTGGTATTCTTTATACTTAACCCAGTCTATAGTGTTTGTGGATATCACAGACATAGAAGTGTGAATGAGATATACACTGGCCCTTCCAACACACAGTTCACAGAAGCTCAGACAAGGATGCAGGAAATCCTAAGGGACAGGTGGACAGGTTGGTTACCTGTCCACTTTCTCGACTTTACCATCTGTCAAGGCAAATGAGTGGCAAAAGCCAAAAGCTGCTACTCACGGATGCGGTGGTCACTGTGCAGGGCACCTCTCCCCGGTGCACACTCATGATGGTGGAAAAGGCGGAAATGACGCCCTGGGTATTTTCTAGGCGACCGTTTTCAGCAAGCAAATCTACGAAGGTGAGAGCATCACAGTGACAAGAAACCACCAAACAGGTTACTCATCAAGTATTACATTTACTCTACATCTTAGAGCCCTGGATTTGTAGCTTTAAAACGCACATTCAGCATCCTCCGAGGATGTGAAGAATCTAACTTGTTATTTTAAAGTGCATTCACTATACACCTTTTTAAAAGACAGCCCCGATAAGCATTTAAATTTGCAAATGTATGTGTGTGTGGTGGGGGGAGCTGCCCCCACCAGGTCTGAGAGACTCCTAGCTCTTGGTGTGTGTGATCTTATTTTCATATTTATATCACAGATGCCAATGCTTGGCATCCAAAGATGATCACATGAATACACTTTGCGACTTGTATTTGAACATGGCCAGCAAGAAATGAAAAGCAGGCCAAACGCATCACATGAAGCAGCTGTCTTCAAGGCCTGAGCTGCAGCTGCTGGTCCCAACTAATTTCTGGGTGTGAATCCCACTGGTGCCCTGTGAGGGCTGCACCCAGACAGCTTTCCACCTCAGCAGCCGTTAGCCTGTGGCCCTGGACCCCGAATGTGAAACAGCCTGCTCGGGAAGCTGGCTGGGGGCCTGCTGGACTTGGCGAGCCCAAGTCTTCCCTGCCCGCAGATCTGTGGCAATGCTGATGCCCCTTGCCAAGGGGCAGTTTCTAGTATCACAGTTTTAAGGAAATGCAAAATGAGAAAGTCCCAACACTTACTCATCAAGTTGGATGTGAGCGGGGAGAGCCTCTCCTTTGTGGTGAGGTCCTTCAGGCTCTTCACTTTAATGGAACGCTTCACATAGGGATTGAGGACAGACAGGGCCACCTTGGGGTCCTTCAGGAGTTGCTGAAAGTACCAGAAAAACCCAAGAAGAATTTACTTCTTTAGACACAAATGATCCTACCTGCCATACATAGACCCCCCCGCCCCCCGCCGTACTGGGGGATCAAACTCATGACCACCTGCTTGCAAGGCAGGTGCTTATGCCACTGAGCTAAATCCCCAGCCCCTCAGACACTTTTTTTTTACCAGTTAACAAATACAGCGTTCTCAAATGTGTATGAAGAAAAGTTCACAGTCAAATACATTTCTCTGACTTCAGGGAAACTGCATCCTGACTTTGCATGGGACAAATGATGAAAAAAATTTAATAGTTCATAAACTTCTTTAAGAGCAGAGAGAGAGAGAGAGAGAGAGAGAGAGAGAGAGAGAGAGAGAGAGAGAGAGAGAGAGAGAGAGTGCATGCGTATGTATGGATATGGGCCATGGAACCTAGGGGGCCAATGCATGCTGAGGAAGTATTCTACTACTAAGATACAACCCAAGCCTTCTCAATTGTATCTGTCCTTGGTTTTTTAAGAGGTAGTTAAAAACAAAGCAGTTGAAAGCTCCAACTCCTTGTGAATTCCAATGCATGCAGTATAAGCAGGACTCCCGCTGTCCTAGTGCGGCTTCCTGCCAAGTGCACACCACACACGGTTCTGACTGCAGAGCAGGCCTTGGGCCCCTGTGCGACAGCGACCTGCCAGGCTTCTTACAGCCGACCTGTGTTTCCACAGCAGCCTCCGAGAGTCTGGGAGGGAGTGTGGACAGAAAAACAACAGTGCAACGGCCATAGGCAACCACTTTGTTTTCACTTGATTAAATCACAGAAATCTGAATGCAGGAACCACAGCGACTTCTGGCACCTTGCTGCTCTTAGGGCCTGGCCAGAGTTCCAGTGAGCTGACGACAGCTCTTCCCACTCGGGGCCTCCCCTTGGACACTTCTGTCTTCCAGTTATTCTGCCAGCACCTCCTCCGTTATCCTGTCTCGGACCCTGGCTGCCTGTCATATGCTGCCAGATGATGCTAAGACTTCCACCTGAACGGCCCGAGAGACGGCAGTGGCCTACAAGGACTCAGGCTTATACAAATAAAACCACCTGGGAAATGGGGAGACTCATTTTTCGTGTTTCTTACCTGCTACTGCGGCACTGTCCAATGACAGGTAGTGGGGCACATTCTAAGTGCTCCCAAAATACTGATTTTCAAAGATTCTTACAGTCCTCCCTTCCCTTCTGTTTTAGATGAGCATCACTCTGCTATCCATAACTCATATCCTTATTTGTTGATGTGACCACAGGGTCTAAAGTGGGTGTAACTGACAAACAGCAGACAAAAACCACTCCTCCAAGCGGCCTGAGTGGGAGGGTGTGTTCCTCGCTACCCGCCCGTTCCCAGGCCACATGTCTCCCACAGGAAGGCTGGGTCCACTCTGCTGGCTCTGCGGACCCTAAGAGTTTATCCCTCCAGCTAAGACTTGGGTGTCACCTGTAGACATCCGGTGTAAAGGAAGATAACGCATACAATAAAAAAACTAATGTTTCTCCTGTGAGACCATTACTAGGCTGTCTCCCTCCTTTGCTTTAACACAGATCTTACTGCCAGTGGTAGCACCTAGAAACTAAAAAAGGAGAAGGGAAATAACAAAATATAGGAAAAATTCTCAACTAGAAAATTCACAAAAAACTAAGGCAGACATTTTTGTAAGTTATATGATGGATTTCTGTTAATTCAGTGTATTTACTTTTCTCATTTTTTTTTTAAAAGTAAATCTTCTGGTGGAGTTAGGGTCATTCTTTGTGGCTCTTTGCTCTTCAGGAAGCTGCGGCCTTCTCCATCCTCACCCTGCACCCTCTGCTCAGGCACCTAGTCCTCATGTCTTGGGAGCAAACCCAGGGAAAGGCTTCCCACAGAAAAACCCTCCATCAAATGAGGTCCTAACATAGAGAAGATCATCTTTGGAAAATACCTGGTTCATAAGCAAAGATTTTTAAGGGTGACACTTTAATTCTCTTCTGAAATGAGAATCTTTTTTCTTTTTCTTTCTTTTTTTTTTTTTTTTGTCTTTTTCCTTTTTATCGGTACTGGGGATTGAACTCACGACTGCCTGCTTTCAAGGCAGGCACTTATGCCACTGAGCTAAATCCCTAGCCCCAAGAATCTTTTTTCTTTAAATTATTTGCCTGTATCTTCATTTTATACTATCTTTTCTTAAGTGGAAATTTGGTTCCTAACTTTAGTATCCTTATATGTGTCTGTTTGTTCCTATTAGTTTCAGCATAATAAACCTGTAATATTACTAACATTTTAACAGAAAAGTTTGTTTCTGGCAGTTTTTTTTTTCCACAGGATACATCTCACTGGGACGCAGGAGTCATGGGAGGCATAATTCTACCTACAGGAGTTTCACATGTGCAGAACCAGAAAGCTACTCACTCCCACTCTCAGCAACTCCTTTTCCACTTGATCCAGTTTATTCTGCTTCGATGCGGCGGAATACAGAGCTGTGGCATAGCGACCTTCAATGCCGTACACCTGGATGGGTGGCTTTAATCCAAAAAGGTGGGGTGAGGAAAAAGGAAAAGCAGTTCAAAAGGATGACACTGTATGGTTAAGAGCACAATTCAACATTTAACTTAAAAAGTACATCTCCAACTGGGCTTGGTAGCAAAACGTCTGTAATCCCAGCTATTGGCGAGGATGAAGCAGGAGGACCATGAACTAAGATGGATTAAAGACAAATTAGGGATGTTTCTTCAGCCAGGTCCATCTGTCTCTGAGCCTCCAATTCAGCTTATGAAATGAGGGCTGACATTAATGAGTTGTCAGTCAAAGGACACTGAGATTCCATGTCACCCAATCAGAATGGCAAGAATACAAAAATCAATGATGGGGCTACAGCTCAGAGGTGGAGCATTTGACTGCAAAGAACAATGAATGCTGGCAAAGGCTGGGGCAAGGGGAGAAACCTCCTAGGTGCTGGCAGTATACCCATGATGGAAGCCAGTATGGAGCGTTCTCTAAAAAGGAAAACTAGAGGTATTGTTTGATCCAGCTTCACTACTCCTTGGGGTGTTCTGGAAAGAAAGTACATTGCAGTAACACACACACACACACACACACACACACACACACACAAACCCTGTATTTCCAGCAGCACAGTTCATAACAGCTAAGTGGTGGAAACAGCCTAGATGTCAGTCAATAGATGAATGGATAAAGAAAATGTGGTTCTTATCACAGTGGAATATTCTTCAGTCATAAGGAACAGAAGCATATCACTTGTGGGAAAATGGATGGAACTCATGACTACCATGCTAACTGAAATAAGCCAGACTCAGAAAGTTCAATAGTGTATGTTTTCTATCATATGAAAAACTCTAAAAAAATAAAGGACAGATGGCAGAATTCTAGAGGGTAGATTTTTAGAGATGGGGAAGAGACAGGGGAGAGGGAGAAAGGATGAGGGAAATAATGAGGTTGAAAATAATCAAAATACATTACATGCATGTACCTTACTGTTCTGTATTCCTAACATGCACTAATTAAACTGAGTGGCTGACAAGACTAAAGTACCCCCTCAGTTTTATCTACCTGTAATTCAATTACTTAAGGATTCACTTAGCTTCCTTTGAACTCAAGAACTATCTAGTTCCAAGTATGGGGGTTTTTAACACCAATATGAATGTTTACCAGCTCAGAAAATACTGTAACTTTCCCCTTACAGAGACTTTCCAACAATGTTTAACTTAATGGAGCCTGTTAGCAGTACACAAAGCACCGAGGCTTGAAGAACTTTTCACAGTACATCTTTGTTGTATGACTACACATACCTGGTGGTACTGCATGGTTCAACAAGCGAAGTTTAGACTTTGAGAACAACAAAGACTGAGTTCCAACCCCGTTTTAAGACCAAGCTGAATAATATCAGGCAAATTTTTGTAACACCTCAGCTCTTCCTTTTGTAAAAGCAAAGTCCAGTTATTCTGTACTACTGTTCATGCGGTTTTAGGAAGTTCTCATATGAAAGATAAAAAGATGATTCCTCCAGTTTTTGAGATCTGTAACTGGTACTGGGGGGGGGATGTGGCACAGCAATTTTTTAAATTCCATCTAAGGTGGTTCACTAAGGAAACAGATCTGATATTCTGACTTTCCCTTTATACTATTTTTTCAACCCAGGAATTGGCTCACTGTTGATTGGGGTGTGTGTGTGGACAGGAGAAAGAGCCCAGTACATTTCTGGACCTGAAAACTCAGAGAAGTTCTGTTCCCTGAGAGCTGGATCAATTTTCTGTCTACAGGAACTAGTAACTACAGGAAGAACTAACATGGAAAAGCAATCACATCACAGGTTGCTATTACAGGTCAGCTACCCATCCTTTGGGGTTTTCTGTGTACACTTCATGTCTTAGAGTTCTTTTCATGATGCAGAGGTGAGGCAATCAGATTACTTCTGGTTTAAAAACTAGGACAGACAGACCTTTGCAATGATGACTTTTTGGTATCTAGTGAGTAGTTTTTTGTCAATGTTGACTTTGTTTGAAACAAGGGTGTAAAAAGTACAACTATTCCTGCTAAGCACAGTGGGGCATATCTATAATTCTAGCATTTGGGAGGCCAAGGCAGGAAGACTGCAAGGTCAGCTTGGACTACAAAGCAAGACCCTGTTTGTCTGTTTTTTTTTTAAAGTGCAAATATTCCTTTCTAGTCATATATGGGGAAAGCAACTGGTAACATGGAGCACTGCAAACAGCCTGCAATAAAACTGAGATATTATAATTTTAATACAGACTTCTGCAATAACTTATGAGATCCCGGGCATGTATTTTGCTGAATCTCTTTGTTTCATTTTTTAAAAATGCTACCTTACCTATTTTGGAGGCTTAGTGGGAAAAACAAACAATCAAAAAACAGTTAACTGCACATCAAACACTCAACATCAGTTCTCTCCCACCAAAGTTTGGGAACCACAAATCATGCTAGAAAGGTTGAAGTGGAACTAAACAAGCCTACGAACTCACACACTCTCCTCTGCTGTATAGTTTCAAAAAGAATAGAAATTAACATACCCTCACAAGCTTGGCAAATGGCCTGACCACAGATGTACTGAAGCATCGCACCTTCAAAACAAAGGAAAACAGATGAAAGGTTACCTGAAGGGTCTCTGCATTTAATGCAGTATTAAAAAAAAAAAAATTTTTTTTAAATGACTTCTAAATATTTAGTTTTATATATTTTTTTCTATATCATCACATAGAACACATGAGTTGGGGGTGCTCTTTTATTACCTACAAATACATTTCTCTGAGTATCATGCCAAGTTGCTTAGGAAAGTGCCTTCCCACCAACTTTTGAGTTTTCTGGGAACCAGCCCAGGCTAGTACATCCAGGGGAGAAAAAACATTAACTTTCAGGGAGAGTACGGTTCAAAAACAAAAAAAAAAAAAAAAAAAAAGAAAGTAAAGACTCTGGCATTTATCATTTGTATTATTATACCCTTGAGAAGGATTTTAAGTAAAGTCTCCAGGCACGATTTGCAAAAGACATGCTTCCTAGGAATCCAAATGCTACCAAAAAGTAAAGGTTTATTCTCTGAGCATTGACACAAAAGAATCTGATATGGTAACAGATCCCTGCTCTCAGGGTTGTCTAGGAACTATTTATCAAAGAACAGTGCTGGGATCTTAAACAGCGTAGGGGCACTGGTCACCTTCACACTTCCAGCTCTGGAATGTACTATATCAGAACTGGCTGTGAAGTTTGAAAGATTAATTCTTATAGAAAAGTATGTAGCAATATGAAGAGCATCATGGTAGATGTAAGAGTACAATTTTTTTTTTTTTTTCCAGCTCCATCTTCTGGGAGAAATCTATGGGTTCTGAAGTCAACATTAACACTGGCCGAACGAGCCACGACGAGTCACTGGAGCTTTTCTGTCTCTTTTATACAAACAAGAAAGCTGACTTACAAATATTCCTGAGGATGACTACTGGCCCCTGTCAGATTTTATGGCCAAAGAAGCTGACTTGAGGCTTTCTTCGGAGACAAGGAAGCTCAGCCTGCCTCTCCCGCGCCCCTCCAGCCAAGTGGCTTCCACGACAGTGCCGAGGACGCCACGGTCCCTGCACGCGCATCCCGCGGGCGTCCTGGGGGGCAAAAGCAGGGCCACCCTGCGTCTACTTCACTTGCGGGGACCCCACGACCTCAGATGGCAGCCAGGTCCCCCCAGCCGTGTTGTAGCACCCTGACGCCCTGAGTGTAGAACCCGTCACCCCACAGGGGAAAAGCCTCCTGCTGGCTTCTCTAACCTGCCGGTATAACCCGGACGCTGCTGGTGCGGCCATCTTGTCCCGGGCAGCTGTAGGTCAAACCCAGGTGGGAAGCGAGAGGGGTGTTATGGCGCACGCGCGCGTCAGCGTGACCGCAAGACTCTTTGGGAAATGTAGGCGTAGAGTTCCATGGCGCATACGCAGTGATTTCGCATACACTGGGAGTTGTAGTCCTTAAAAACCGCAGTCCAGGCTGGACCCCTCCAGGTGGAGCTAGTAGGTTCGTTAAGATTAGGCGGTCTGACCCCAGCTCTGCTGTAGCGTGCTCTATAATAATGTTATGATGTTCGATGCCGCGTTTGCTTAATACACGTAGGCTTTCCTGCTTCAGGCTTTGCTGTACACAGAACCGAGCATTTCAGCACAAGAACTTTTACACACCCTCGCAAACTAGCGTGGCATCCAACGTTAGAACCCGACACTAGCCTTGGCCAGTTTTTCTGCATTCATAAAAATAATTTCTTTTCAATCCATTTCCTATTAATGGAGCATGCTATAATGGAACGAGGTTCAGGGCTCCTAGTCTTAACGATGGGGTTCAATTTAAAAGAAAACATTTCTGCTAAAATCTAGTATAGAAATACAGATTAATTCATTATTTTTTTTTAGGGCACATTTTTTTTAAATGGAGAAAAGTAGAGGGATGTAATTTCCTTCTTTTTTACTACTCAGATTCGTCAATATTCTGGTAATTTGTTTCTCAGTATATTTTTAGGCTGTAAATTGCCCAGGCTTGAATCTCAGTCATTTGTATGACCGTGGCTTAATCACACAACTTCTCTGTACATCAGCTTTCTTATCTATAAAATGTATCTGCCTCATAGGTTAGAAAGAATCCAGTTAACACACATAGTGACACCTGCCTGTAATCCCAGTACTCTAGGAGGCTGAGGCAAGAGGATCAAAAGTTTGAATCCAGTCTGGACAACTTAACAATTTAATGAGACCCTGTCTCAAAAATATATATATAATTAATTAGTTAATTAATGGCCTGGGGATCGAGATCAGTGCAAAGGCTCTAAATTCAATCCCCAACTGTAACTTAGAATAATCACTTGAATTAGTGGTAATTAATATATTAGTTTTGTGTTTGTCTTTATTACACGTAACGATTCACAATCTACATATACTTGTTTATATAATTATATGTAGATTGTGAATTCATTTTTACAATGTAATATAAACATGTTTCCGAGTCATAACATTTTCATAAGTATAATTTTATTTTTTTGAGACAGGGTCTTGCTATGTAGTCCAGGCTGGTCTCAAACTCATGGGGATCCTTATTCCTCAGCCTCCCAAGTGATGGGATGTCAGGCATGCATCACCCACCCCTGGCACATAAATATAATTTTAATGGCTGAAGAACAACCCATCAAATGGCTATTCCATAGCTTCATCATTCCATAATTTCTGAATATAATTTAAGCAGTTTTATATCTTACATTTGGCTAAACACTTCTGCATTTCCTGAGCATCCTCACAGACAAGATTTTCTCCTCTTTAGGAGTTTCCAAATAGATTTTCAGAGCTGCGTAGTTCAATAAGAGAGTGTGAGCACTTTCAAAGCTTTTCCTTTTTTTCTTTTCTTTTGTGTAATACTGGAGATTGAGCCCAGGAACTTCACGTTCAGCTGTCACCCCAGCCCTTTTTAATGTAATTTAATTTTTTTAAAAATTTTGAGATAAGATCTTACTAAATTCTCAGGTGGGACTCGAACTTGGCATCCTTCCAAAGTGTTTGGTTTACTGGAATGCACAACCACATCCCACTTAAACACCTCTGATGCATGAGGTCAAATTGCCTTTCAAAAATTTTAACCAATTTACCCTTTTATTATGGAAACTCTTATTTCACCCTATGCTGCAAATTATTTTCAGGAACTATTTTCAAGTAAGCTTGATAAAAGACACATGTATTACTTAACCCTCATTACTGAGTCCCACTTATGAGCCTGCAGCTGTTCTGTGCCCTTGAAGATAACGGGAGGCTATGTGACAGATAAAGTGCTTACCTTCCTAGACCTTACATTCCATGTGAAACCAAGCTATAAAACTCACATTTCCTAAAGTATCCTAAACTCTATACTCTCTATTGCATTGATAATTAATTACAAGCAAACTATAAAGTTGCATTGCAACAGAAAGATGCCCTCAGTTTAGTTGGTGTTTATCTCGTATCCCTTGCACATGTCCAGAATTCCTTAAATTTGAATTTTAAAGTTTATCAAGTGTTTTGCACACATGATTTCACCTGCATTTTGAGTGTCAGAATAACTCTAAGATGTAGGTAGGCCTGGTATTCATATGTATTTAGTAAACACATAGTTTTGAAACAGGGTCTCACTGTGTATTCAGGCTGGCCTTGAACTCACTATTGTAGTCCAGGCTGGCCTTGAACTCCCAGCCATCCTCCTGCTTTAGCCTCCCAAGTGTTGGTATTACCAGTGTGTGCCACCATACCTGGTTTTCTCATATTTTATAGATGGTAAAATGCCATGAATCCTGTTTAGGTAGCTTATCTAGGGGATGGCAGTTTGGTTGTCAAAGCCAGGCACCTGTTCTGGGCCAGTCTCTTTCTACTGTCCTGGTCTAATGAATGAGTGAATCCTTCAAGATGTATTCCTGGACATGGGACTTTGATGCCTGTGTATTTTGGTGACAAAAGGAGAAGCACAGAGTCCTGAAGCCTGATGCCACTGCAGTCACACTTTCCTCTGCCTCTCTTGGCGTCCTGGTCCCCCACTCTGATCTCCCTGTAGAAAATCTGCAAAGAGGTGCTGAGCCCCATTGTGCCAGGGCTCTCAGGGAAGGAGCTGCACAGCTGTTGCAGCTTCTGCTATGAAAGGACAGAGTTGGGGAAGGCACCAAAATTTTGTTCCATGGAAGAAGGGAAGCAACTCAGCTCTCTGCTGTTACAGTGCTTTCCCTGGGTGTAAACTCAAACTGTTTAAGAACTGGTTGCTTCAACAGCTGCAACCAATGGAGTGAAAGGGACATTGTCAAGGTCACAGGGCAGGGTCACACTGCAGCGGACCCGGACATTTAATCTTGACTTTTTTGTTTTACGTTGACCTTGGATTCAGAACAAATGTTGCTTGCTGTTTTCTCTATAACACACCATAGAGCAGCACAGAGAACATCATGAGATCCTCAACTGCCTGTGTTTTAAAAATGCCATGATTTTCCATTTAATCCATAAAGCACCCCTCCCATACTACACTAGCCAGGAATCTGGATAAAGGTAAATGTGCCAAAATGTTCACTATGTTCTCTTTAAAAGTGCAAAAAAAAAAAATTGAAACACATGTCTAAGCATAAGGCAGTAGCTTTTCAAGTGGCATACTATGCAGCCATTAAAATGTGATCATCAAAAAGTATTTCATGCCATGACATGAGGGAAAAAATTCATAAACTATATTGCGCATTTTTCTACAATGAGCATATATTACTACTATAATCAGAAAAGAAAGAAAAGGATGACTCGGTCCTATCCCTGGTTAATTACTGTGACCCTGAAAGAGTAGATAACATCTATTCTAATTCTTTTTAACACTCAGCTTCTGACACAAAACCAATTGCTTCAAGTTGATGAGCTCTGCAAAAGATCCGGAAGTGAACCAACAAAATTCCTTCCTTTCAAAGATTAATGTCTATATAGATATCACCAGCCAGGAGCAATTTTCTTTAGTTTTACAGAGTCTATACGAAGAATTATATCTGTTTAGGACAAAGGAGGATAAGAAGGTTTTTCTCTACACATTTTGTTACACCGACACAACCTGGGAAATGTGTCCATTATTTACATATTTATCTTGGAGTCAATTCCACTCCGGTTTTCTCTTCTGTTAAGAACTTGTGCATGGGCTGGTCCGAAGGTAGTGAGTTATCTCAATTGATCGTTCACAGTCAGTACAGATTGAATTCTTTGTTCTACTCTTTCCCCCTTCTCACTACTGCACTTGACTAGTCTTAAAAAAAAAAAAAAAAAAAAAAAAGAACTTGTGCATGAATCCACTATATAGCAGACTAGAACTGCTTTCTGTCTTTGTGGTTGCAGACTAGCAGCCCTGATGTAGAGCAGTTCTTTTTACAGGAAACTTTATCTTTCTGTTTAAAGCCCAAGAATGGGAAAATGACCTTGATGCCTTTCTGCGGGGTCTGTAGCATTTCCGTATCCCCACGCCCAGTCTTTCTTAGGCTACAGTGTGAACACAGCAGCCTGCAAACCAGAAACAATAGTGATGAACACTGGCGATGGGATTCTAGATACTGTGATCATAACCTAACTGCTTGTCTTTAAGATTTGATGCGTCTGTGAAGAGAAAGTGAGTAAATAAAAGATAGGAAAAAGAGGTGCCCCCAACCCGTTTGGAGAAAGCTGCATTGGAAGATCCGCAGCACAGACCTCACGGATCTGGAAGCTGCAGAAAGCGTTTACCTTGCCCCTAGCACAGGCTTCTTCCTGGATCCTCCCTTCAAGCCCTGGGCCACCTTGAAGCCGCTACCTGGTCTGCGCTCAAGGTCACGACGCTCAGCTAAGTGCAGGTGCCTGCGGCATGATCTGGACGCTAGGGGGCGCCATGTCCCCACGTTGTGGATGCCTCGCGTGGGGAAATCAATCTGTTTCTAGAGCTTTCTGCGTTCAAACTGCAGGAGAGTGTATGGGGCTCACATTTGCAAGGAAGAATTCGAGCATTGTGAGATCCACAAACAAAAGGGATCACAGAGAGGTGCTGTAATCCGGTTCTTGGAGTTTTGGGAGACAGGTAGCTTCGGTGTCCCTCCACCCGCCACCTCGGGTGTCACAGCTCCCTGGATGGAAGCAGCCCTGGAGACCAGCATTCAGATGTTCTGTGGGGCTCCGCAGCCCCCACCGCCCCCACCCCTCCCACCCCTCCCACCCCTCCGGCTTCCTGCAGCGACCCAGGTTACACTTTGCTGGCTGCACCACTGGGCCGCAACGGGTCTACGACTCAACAGCCAAAGTACTTGTTCTGCCTGGGGTGTGTGGGGAAAGTTATGCAGTCAGATGGGTGCTGGTGCTGTATGCTACCAGACGAGTATAACAAAAGGAACCAACGGGAAAGCAGCGGTAGAACATGCTTCTGCTCGTTG